TCTTGAAGCTCTGGTGAAGGGAGGCCGCCTGCTCACCAACCGTTCGGCACCTGAGCCAGCAGGATTTCCAGGCATTCAGAGTTTCAGGTACTAGCCCAGTACCTTCCTTTCCATAGATGGTAACCAAGTAGATGCTATTGGATGTGCTGAACCAGGCTGAGGCTCTTCCAGAAAGGCTCTCTGCTGTTGACTCTGAACCACCCTTGTCCTTAACATTCTTTCCTGGTCAGGGTGGAGTTTACAACTAGCTTGCTTCACCTTGTTGGGGAAGAAGCGAGGAGTACAACTCTATGGTGACCTCTCTGGGTCAGATCTTATATGTAGTGTTGGGAGCAGGTATGGAAAATTTTGAAGGCAGGGCAAGGTCTTCCACACCCCACTCTTCTTCCTCTCCTTCTCATCCTTCTTTCTTTACATGGGCGGGTACTCAGGCTGTATTGCTCCTGCCAGAGCCAGTTTCTGGGAAACATTATGAATCTTAGTCATTTGCATTGCAGTGTAAATAAGTACACATGAGTCAGCCAGCGGCTTTGATTTTAATATGGGGCTAAATGACTGTCTCTTTAAGGCTTTTCAGGCATCTGGGCAGGGATTGGGGGAATTTGGAGGGCAGGGATAATTCTTTACCTCTAAAATAATGCCTAGGCTGTGACTAGGACCTCAGCCACTAATCCCAGATAATAAATAAGAATATTTAAAATACGTTCAGTCCCTTTTCATCTTTGTCAGAAGTCTGAATGTTTTCGGATATAAAACATCCAAAATTTAACACAATTTTGAGTTGTTGGCAAGAAAATCCAATGTTCTGAAAGATTTTATAAAATGAATTTCTCTGATGTTTACAAGATCTTGCCTGAGACAGTGACAAGTGTTTTCACATGTTGTACAACAAGGATGTGAGACTCACAGAGGTAATTTGCACCTTGGGGGCTGCCGTGTGGGCAGAAGCTGTCTAGGAGTGTCTCTGGAGGGCGGGGAGCAGTTCGTCGTGGTTGTAGATGTCAGGATCGGGCTCTTTCGTGCCAGAAGTCTGTGATCCTTCAACCAGAGGCAAGCTTATCTAGAGACAGGAGAGTTGATCATGGTGTGGAGAGAGAACCAGTGTGACAGTACCCCACTCTGTACTGTCCGTTGATTAATAATAACCTCAGACCCAGGCAGAGGAGACGAGGGAGGGGCAAGATGCGAAGAGTTGGCAGTGCTTCCAAGTCCATGAATATACTATTCCTGCGGAGTCCCTGAGCAGTACAGGTAGTTAACATGCTTGACTGCTAACTGAAAGTCTGGAGGTTTGAGTCCCCCTGCCCAAGGTGCCTCAGAAAGGCCTGGCTGTCTACTTATGAAAAATCAGCCATTGCACACCCTACAGAGCACAGTTCTACTCTGACTCACCCAGGGTCACCGTGAATTGAAGTCGACTCACTGGCAACTGGTAACTGGTGGTGACCATGGTCTCCCAGGGAAGGTGTGGTTTATTTACTTCCTGGAACCCTGGGAGGAGGCAGCCCAGAGCTGTGGTAGGGAAGCCCACTTGACAATATGACACACTGGCCCTGCAGTCAGTTTCTTAGGGCTTGTTCCCGTGGTGGTGACACAGGCTCTTTGGAAACTCAGCTTGTAAGAGCAGTGAGCCGGCAGAGCTCACCCAGTGACCAGGGACCTTGGCACCAGCTGAGGCACCGAGGGTCAGACAGAGAAAGCCTGCTGGGCTTGGGATGTTCACCACACTCTGAAAAGTCCCAAAGAGCGTGTTCCTGTGTTGGAATTCACTGCGCCGAGATGCAGGTTTGGTTGCAGACACTGCTTCCCACGTGCCAGGCTCTGAATCAGAGCTGGTTTCCAGGACATCCAGGCAGCCGCTTATATGTTTGTGCATTGTTCTGGCCAGGACCTGGATGAGTTACTCAGACTCTGTTGTTGCTATTGCTTCCTTGCCAAAGTCTACCCGTCTTCAGGGCTCACCTCCTGGTTTTAAGTATACACACAGACTCGGTGGGCCTCATTTGAGGACTCATGGAGTATGAGTCCAGTCATTGTCCTCCAAGATCATTTCTCCCAGAAGCTCCAAGGCCCTGTGTGTTGACAACAGCCAGGTGAGACGAATGCTGGCAGAGGAGCGGCCTTCACTTCTGCTGTGGCATCCCCCCAGAGCACCCTTTCCTGCTGGAGTCTCTTCCATGGCCTCCAGTTTATTTTTCAGGCCTAGCCCAGCTTAGTTGCCATCACAATGTGTCTACCACCACTTCCCTCCCCAGGCAGGATTAATTTTCCCTTCTTCTTTGCGTTTTTTAAAATTCATCACCATGCTGCCTTTTTTTGGAACCATCATTTATATACAGTAAAATGCACAGAGTGTACAGCTATGTCAGTTTTGACCAATATGTACAACCCTGTAACCATGGGTGGTGCGTATGGTTAAGCGCTTGGCTACTAACTGAAAGGTTGGCAGTTTGAACCCACCAGGAGGTGCCTCAGAAGAATGGTCTGGCAATCTGCTTCTGAAAGGTCACCATCTTGAAAACCCTATCGAGCGGTTCTACTCTGACACACGTGGAGTCTTCATGAGTGGGAATCAACTTGACAGCAACTACCAACAACAACTACCATCGTAATTAAGATACAGAACGGTTCCATCGCCCCCCAAAATCGCTCTCTTCCACCCTGGGCTCCTTTGTCGTCACACTCTCCCCTCATCCTTAGCCCTGGCAGCTGCTGATCTGATTTCTCTCCTGATAGTTTTACCTTTGCAAGAATATCATACAAGTGGAATCATAATGTATATAGCCTTTTAAACCTGGCTTCTTTCACTCAGCATAATGCATTTGCGGTTCATCCATATTGTTGCGTGTATTGGACGATCGTTCATTTTCATTGCTGAGTGCCCAATAACATTTTATCCATGTCTCTTCATGGGACTCTTCCGTGCTATCTGGATATTGATTTTTCTGTCTGTCTCCTTGGTGGACAGCTGAGCTCCTCCAGGGCTAGGCTGTGCCTCATGCGCCTTTGTTTCCCCGGCCTGCCCACAGTAGGTTCTTGATAAAATGTGGGTGCTGGGGCAGCTGTGCATTGACAGCGTGGTCCTTGGTCCTAGCTACCTCACCGGCGAAGTGTCTGCCTGGGCGACAGAGGCCTTCCCCTCAGATGTCGGCGGAGCCTGGGGCTCTGGCTCTCTGTAGGGCCCTGGCTGGTCCCTGCACAGCCTCTGTGTTCAGGAGGCCATCTGGAGATAAGCTGGGGATGGATGGGCTGGCTTCTGGTAAACTGCTCCCACCCTCAGTTTGGCATCCATGGTGGACAGGGTGCCAGCACTTTTTGGGGAGCCCTTGGGGTGCTCTGTGGATCCTCTGCGTCTTTACTCTGGGCTATGACCTACTGGTACTGGTATCTGTCTCCCTCCTCCTCAGCCAGAGAAGCCCTCTGTGGGTGTTGTTTTCACTGAGTCACGGCTACAGAGGCTTGTTAGTTAAAAATAGGCCCTAGTATATTTGCCATGTGACCGGCTTTCTCTCCTCAGGCTGACACTGGAACGCTTATGTACATATTTGGAGGAGGCTGAGGTTGGGGATCAGTTCCATCCCAAGGTCTCCTTGCCATGGCTCCTGGAGTGGCCGAGGGAAGACGGCAGTGGGAGAGTGAGGGCCAGCATGCGCTAGGATCACTCAGGCTGGTGGCACATCATGTGGGAGAAGCTGGAGTGCAGGGTGGTTCCTAGAAGCCAGTGGATATGGTTGGTCATTTGCTGTAGCAACAATGGCTTGGTCATGAAGGGTCAGCAGGGCAGACTGGAAAAGCCACAGGGTTTGAAAGCAGGCTGACCAGGATTAAAGCCACAGTTCCACCGTTTACTGGCTGGTAGCCTTAGACTAGTCACGTGACTTCTGTGAATGTCAATTTCTCTTTTGTAAACAGGGACGGCATTATTCCCCCTCAACCCGTCCACCCCCGACTAGGGTGATGTAAGAATGAAAAGAGAGCAAGCATGTAAGAGGGCAGGCACACAGTAGGCCTTCATTTAGTAGTGGCTGCTACTGCAGCCATCCCTAGTCTTACCATCTGCTTTTACCAGCAAACATGATGTTGTGTTAGGCATCAGAGGGAAGAATTAAAGGTTCTGAAACAAGGACATAGGAGTGTATAAATGCACATCCAGACCTCTTTCCAGTGCTGCTCACATCTCACCTTTGTTGGTCTCCAGCCACTACTGTGTCCTTAAATCACTTCAACAGCTGCCCAAGTGGGGCTGGTTACTCGGGACTCAACAGCCGTGAAAGGACTGTGACCGAGCTTAAAATAGAGACGCGTCCCTTGACTAGTGGCACCAGAGGCTGCACAGGGCCCTGGGTGGCAGGCCAGGCGGGGCCTGAACACCCAGACACTGAGCAGCTGGAGGCTAGCGGACCTTCCGACCGGGAAGCCATTCCCCTTGCCAGACGAGCCCAGTTCTCCTTGGTGCAGAAGCCCTGAGGGTATGTGTTCTCAGCCTCATGGCCCCTGTGCTGCCTGGCCGGAGATTACTGACCATTCCTCAGAGACAGGATGTCTGAGGAGGAGGTGGGGCTGGTGTGTGGGGTCAGGGATTAGGTGGTAACTGGTGTCTTAGGCTTAGTGGGGTTGAATCGGGTTCAGCCTGAATCAGGGTTGAGCTAGTTCCAGCCTTTGCTATAAGGGGGTGGGGGGAGCTCTTTTAAGGATGGAAAGTGAAGCAGTCCTGTGTAAGAGGGCAGAATGAGAGGGAGTGTCAGGAAGAATAGGCCTTGCTATTTAGTTGGTCTTTCTTTTTATACCCCAAACCAGGTCTTTGTATGAGAATATACGTGTGTCAGAGCAAACCAGAGAAGGCCCACAGAGCAAGGCCACACAGAAAGGCAAGGCCTTCTTACCCATCGAGGGAAGATGCCCAGATGGGGCGACTTGGTGCCCAGACCAGAGCTCCTCTAATACTGCCTTTAAATTGCATCTGTGGCTGCTTCCCCTGTGACCTTCTCTCCCCCACGCAGGTGCACCATGGAATGTGACCTCTGCTGACTGGACAGCCACAGAGGACTGAAGTTCTAAGCCTTTCTCTGGACACAGGCAGGAGGCTCCCAGCCAAGGGACAGCAACTGCTCACCATGGCCTCCAGCAGCGCAGAGAGCCAGCTCCAGAGAATTATCCACGATTTGCAAGGTATGGTTAGGTCTTGGGGCATACCGGGTTTGCTCTTGAGGGAGCTGTGGCTGTGCTTTTTCCATTGCCAGCCGAAATTTACCCCTTTCATCTTTGTTCATGCTGGGAATAACTGGAGCCCTCAGCACATATCATACTGAAATATTTGAGGCTCGGATTTCTACCCTGTGTGAGTCTGGAAGAGCCTGCCTAGCCCTCCTCTCAGGGCACTGGTAAGCCAGTTTGTAAACAAAACCAAATACCCGTCTCCCGGACAGGCTCTGGTTTCAGTTTGTGTGTGTGTGTGTGTGTGTGTGTGTTTTCACAACTTGTCAAGTCTTTAGTTGAATCATGAGCCTCTGGGCTCTGATGAAGTTGGCTCATCTGGGGAGGAATATTCTCCCTGCTTGGAGCAGGAAGGACAGATACCCATCTGATTGTTTTGCTGTCCCACCTGGTCCTGGCTGGCGGACGACCCGTTGCCTGTGACACACTCCAGTTCTGGGCCTGCCACCTCCTGGACTTGTGCACATCGTTCCCCAGCGAGAGAGACTCTGACTTGTAGCCCTTGTCTCACTGGAGAAAGGAGGGCAGGGGCAGATGTAGATAAAGCTTAATTGACTCAGGAGGAACCAGCTGCCTTCTCCAAATTCTAGGACCTGGGTTTCTCCCTTTCAGATGATGGCGAAAGGTCAGAATTTTGGCAGGGTTTCCATCCCCCACAGATCGCCAGGGCTGCCCTTGGGGGCCTGTTTGGAGCTCCAGCACTTTTATTACAACACAGTCCAAAGCTGACCACTTCCTCTGTGCCTGCAGAGTTCACGTGACACTTAGTGCTGACAGCTAGGGCCCTGGGTTCCTAACTGCTCGGGCACAGTGATGACCCACAGCCATCTCTCATCCCAAGGGCCATTGGCCTGGTAGGGGCCAGAATTCAGTCTTCATTCTGAAGGTCAGAAGTCAGTGAGATAAAAATCACGTTCTGAGGCTTGTTATCTGCTAGTAATAGTGCTTTGCCACTCTAACAGCCAATAATTTCATGTGTGCCAGGCACCATTCTGCACGTCTTATGGGTAGGAACCCATTGAGTCCTCAGTTTGGTCCTGTGAGGGAGTGCCATTGTTATCCCCATTTTACAGATGATGAAACAGGAATAGAAGGTTAAGTCACTTGCCTAAGGCTGCTCACCCAGTCAGTGACAGAGCCTGGGTTTGAATCAGCAGCCTGGAGCCAGAGTATGTGCTCTTAACCACCCCAGTCTACATCCAGCTCACATGTTAGCAACTTTTCAGAGAAGCAGAGAAGGTAAAAATGACAGTCCCTGCAAGTCAGTTTGCCACTGGCTTTCACAGGTTTCTCCACAAAGTACACAACCTCGTCTGTGTTTCTGTCCCGAGTCTCAAGGGTAACGTTGGGAAGTTCTTGCCCGGACGTTCCTTATTGACAGGGAAGAGACAGCCTACAGGTAGAGCTCCTGCTGAATGGTGCTTTGGAGAAAAAAAAAAGGAAGGCGTCTGTGTTTCTTCATTTACTGTTTTCCACCCTGGGTACTGGTTAGGTCTGGTTGTCCCCGGCATCGTGGGGCAGTCTCGAGGTCTCATACCCAGCCCACAGAGCACTTTGAGGGGCTTTTTAAAAGATGCCCTTTTCTCAAGATGCTTTATTTTCATCTGTTGGTCTGTGTCATAATAAGGGTACAAGTCTACAGCATCCACCACGAGAGTGGTGCATCCTTAGCTGAGGCGTCCTTTTGCAGTGTACAACCTTCACACCTGTGTGGGGCAGCTGACTTATCTTCCCCATGACAGCAGTTATGAGGGGCTTTGGAGTCAGGCAGGTTTGGGGTCAGCTCCTGGAAGATGTTGGGCAAGTCTCTTCATGCTTCTAAGGTGCCAGGTGGGTTTGATGATAACACTCACTTCTGAGGATCATCGGGAGAATAAAATATGTAATTCACATAACGTTAATATTATTAATAAATAACACATTTGGATTATCAGAGATTAGAACTAAAATGTTCATGTTTCACACCCAAGGGCTCCCTCTTTCAAAGCATCAGAAGTTTCCAGATCCGTGCAACATTGGTTGTGCAATTTACCCAGCCTGAAGGTGGATGAGTAAAGCTGTGTGTTTTTCCCAGGACCCTGTTCCCCTGACTCTCTTCTAGCAGGGCGCAACTGGGCAGCAGCCGCTTGTTGTAAGAGTCAGTCCCAACGACCTGTCTTCGCCGTTTGCTGACCTTTGCCCGAGGAGTCAGTGCTGATTAACTTTTTAGCCAGCTCAGGCTTAGCTTCAATTCTGGGCAGGTCTGCTTTCAAACCACGGTGCTTGGGAGCAGGGGCTAGGGACTCCTTTTTTTAAGAATTGTCAGAGAAGATAGTTTTGTCCAGCATATCCCAGCCATCTCAGCTGGGGAAATTTTTCTCGGTATTTCAGCCAAATCCACCTTCTAACAGCTTCTCTGTTTCACAGCAGAAGTAGTGAGTTTGTGTCAAAAGGTGGCTTTTCCTTTTTCTGCACAGGGAGGTAAAACACCTTAGACATCAGGAGGCGGGCTTGGAGTGAGAAAGATCTTGAGAAACCAGGGTTCTCATTCCAGCTCCGCTGCTCGCTATGCACGATCCTTGGTCAAGTGTTCTGACCTCTCTGTGCGTTCCTCCTCTGTAAAACGGGGGTGATGATACCAATTTCAGTGATTCTGAGCTGTACTTTTTTTCACATTTTAACAGCTCTGAAATTGGGATGCATCTTAAAATCAATTGCATCTTAGACTTGTTAAAACAAGGCAGTCTCTGCTTCCCAGTGCTGTATCAAATGAGAAATACATGTAAAGGCCTGGCCTGTACTAGGCACTTGGTGAACAGAAATGAATATTGTTGGGGCTGTCATTATCGCTAGGATTATTTGCACATACTGGGTTTTCTGGAAGCTGGACTCACCTGTACTGAGCAGTAGGGTTATAGTGAAGAATAACAAGAAACATGGCCAGAATAAAGCCTAAAGCTTTCTGGAAGTCGGCATTAGGGGGCTGCTGAATGATTCATCCACAGAGGCAGCACTTATTAACCAACTACTGTATGCAGACTACAAGGTCTAGGTGGTGGGCATACAGGGATGACCAAGACATTTGCCTATGGGCTCTGAGGACATTTTAATCATCTCTGACTTGGAGTTGTATCACATGGGCATTTACATATAACTGAGTTTCCAAGGTGCTTTGCTCTCGTTGATCCCTTATTCCTCCAGCTTGCTGGGATTATTCCTGTTTCTGTCTCTGAGGTCGGCCTCCATCTGATTACATGTTCATGTTTGTTGTCTTAAAGATGCTGTGACAGAACTAAGCAAGGAATTTAAGGAAGCAGGGGAGCCCATCACAGACGACAACACCAGCTTGCATAAGTTTTCTTATAAGCTTGAGTATCTTCTTCAGGTAAGTGATTCTTATAATGTGTTGGTTTTCGCCCTTTGGTCTCGGTTTCCCCCTTAGGCTGCTCATCAGCACGTAATGTGTTGGTTTTTGCCCTGTTGTCTCGGTTCCCCCTTGGGTTGCTCATCAGCATTCAGGATGTGGTTCAGAAAGCCCTCATGTTTAGACTGAAGGTCGAGCAGTCCCCAAAGAGAACTCCCATCGTCTCGGAAGCAGAATGTTATCCTGAGCATGGCTTGGGAAATCAAGAACATTCTTTAGAGATTGAGGTCATCTTCAGGCAGGTCACAAGGTCACTGTGTAGCAGGGCTCTTAACTTTTGGGCAGTCACATATACCTCCGAGAGTTGGCTGAAAGCTATGGACTCTCTCTCCAACAGACATGCATATGTGTACACACCAATCAGTGGACCCTCTGATGGTTATCCTTAGGCCCCTGTGCTAGATCCTTGCTACTCGAAGTGTGGTCTGCTGACCAGCAGCATCAGCATCACCTGGGAGTTTGTTAAAAATAAGTTACCAGCTCCCACCCCAACCACTGAATCATCATCCCTGAGGAAACTGTTTTAACAAACTCGTGGCATAACTCTTAAAACGCCTGCTTAGTTCAAAAAGCACAGCTCTGAAGAACTCTGTAAACGTGGAAAAACGCATGCAACTAAAAGTGGCAGCAATGAAATGGACCAAAATGTTAACAGAAATTATCTTAGGGTGGTGGTATTAAACATTACACAATTTTTATTTTCTCTTATTTCCCAATAATATATACATATATTACTGCTATAATCAGAAAAAATGCTGTAAAATGTTATAGAAAGGTATACCTATATCATTTTGAACACCATTACTTTGCAACCTCACATCGCACCAAAGCACGTGGGACGGAGCCCGCTGGAGGAGAGGCCCCACTTGGTTGAAGGGCCCACCTTTTCAGCAGGTTCTGTGTTCTACGTTGTGAAAAAGCTTATGGACTTTTTTTTCCCCCAGTTAAGCCCATTTTTGTTTTGAATTTGAAATGACTCATAGCTGACATTTATTTCAATTTATTTAAATTTATTCAATTTCAATTTATTTAACTTTATTCAATTTCAATTTCAATAAATTTATTTAAATTTATTCAATTTAAATGAAATATTGAAACATAGTATTTAAAACCTAAGAGTTGGGTGACTGGGATAAAATATCATTAACTCATTTCCAAAAGTGGAAACATGGTTAACGGTCTTCACGTTGCCCTTAAGTCTTTTCGCTTGTCTTTATTGCACATTAATGGCAACTTTGGTTGTTTCCCACTCAACTCTGCACAGCGATCCCTTCAAGGGATAAATCTCTTTTGGGGCTGTTATTCCTGAATTTCATAGTTATGTGACCTTGCGCCAGTTACTTAACCTCTCTAAGCCTCAGTTTCCTCAGCTATAAATTGGGGACCAAAACACCCTCATTTTCTGGAATTGTTGAGGATAAAAATAATGCCAATAAAGGGCTCAGCTCAATGCCAGGCAACTAAGAAGCTATTGTTACCATTTATCATTTAAGTGGCAGGTGAACAGCAGTGAATTGAGATGTCTTCTCTCTGAACTTTTCCTCCCCCAGTTTGATCAGAAAGAGAAGGCCACCCTCCTGGGCAACAGGAAGGACTACTGGGATTACTTCTGTGACTGCCTGGCCAAAGTGAAAGGAGCCAATGACGGGATCCGATTTGTCAAGTCTGTTTCTGAGGTAAGCCGAGCAGAGCAGCCAAGGACCACACATCTTCTCGCCTGCCTCGAGCGTCTTTGCAGAGACCTTTGCTGCAGACAGCAAAGTGAAGAAGTGGAGGCTTACGGGTGGTTGAGAAGTAAAGAAATCCAGTCCAGATATTCTCAGTGCCCACCCTTGCTGTGCATCAAGCTCAGGGAGGAAGCACGTTAGTGAGCATTTACCAAGCAAAGCAGTGGCTCCGTCCTGAATCTGTGCATTACACCTCGACCCATGCACTGCCCAAATGGAGGGCTGTTCACATTGTAGTTTCTGTCCAGGATGCCTGTGTCCGACACAGGACACCTCCACCTTTCTTTAAAAATCTCTTTCTTAGTTAAAATTCTTAAAGGGTTTGCTATGCTGCTTTCCCTACCCTTTGGCCAGGAAGCTTGGATTAGAAATGAAGAGACTAGTGTGGGATTTCAGGTGCCATATCTTCAAATGCCAGTGTGCAAAGTGACTTCCCACATTCAGTTCTGAGCCCCTGGAGAGCAGAATACCATGGCTTTGCCGCCTTACAAAACTCCAGAACAATAAACAAGGGAAGGGGGCTTTATACATGCATGCACACACACACAGAACACTCACAGATCCTCTCTCTCTTCCTCCCTCTCTCTTTCTCTCTGCCTGCCTGTCCTTTCCTCTCCTCACATCCAGTGAACCTCTCACCCTCTTTCTCACCAGCCTTGTCCATCCAGAAGTCACTTTAAAGTCAACAGACATGTTCCCTGGCCCCTCTCCTGCAAAGGCCAGCTGGGTCAGGTGCTCTGGGAAGAGCTCCTTCCCAACATGCCTGCTGGAGCTGAATGTGTTTCTTCTTATAGAGCGTGACAGTGTAGGTACGCTGACATCAAGAGCTGGGCATTTTCCACCAGCTGCACTGGCTGACATTTAGCTGAGAAAATGAGGAAAGATCCTGGCTCTGAAGAGTTTGATCTCCAAATTTCTTTGATGCCTGTGTAGTGGAGGCAGGTCTTGTGAGCTTTTGTCAGGTAGGAGACTCGGATCCATGATGTAGAGCATTGTTTTCATGCATCAGAAGCCTGGAGGGCGTTCTCACTGTCAGCCTCCTCCATCAGTCTGGAAGGAGTTGACACTGTCACTCTCCTCCTTTCCACTCCTCACCTGCTGCATCAGAGCAACTAAACCTTCCACTCTATGACTTCGGACAGCTGAAATCTGGAAATAAATTTAGTCTTAATTGTCATTCCTCAGGGTTACAAAATACTAACACATGTCCACTTCTTGGCTAGTGTCCTCTTATTTTCTCATGATGTGCTCAGACCTTTAGACAACTCAAGGCCAGGGAAAATGACTTTCTAGAAGCAAAAAGCATCCCTGCTTTCACAAACATTGTTTTTTGGTGCCTGGCATAGGCTCTGCTTCCCACAGGGTCCAGTTGTTTCAACTCCACTGAAGACTGTACTCTCTGGGGTCCACTGGATAGAATGGCTTAGAACATTATTAGTCTGAGTGGGCTGCTGGATACTTGGTTTAACTTTAACAATCAAGTGCCATCCAGGTCAAGTCAAAGGGTCAAAGTTAACGGATAGGAAGCATTCGTTGGGCCCCTCAGGCCCCTTTGGGGAATAGGAGGCAGCAATTTAGGCTAAAATACTTCAAGGCTCCAATAAGCCATTTCCAGAGGCTCAGAATGGGCTCAGCCTGAACTGTTTGCGATGAACAGGGGTCAGACCTGGGTGCAGCTTGGCATCAGGCTGCTGCACAGTGGCCTGGTTTAAAGCAGAATTGGCTCTTGTGTGTCCTGCAGACTTCCTGTCCTTTGCTGCTGTTGTATCACTTCTCAGTATAGTGTGCATAGGTTCTGATTAGATGCTAAAAAATTAAGGAATTAGGTAATGAAAGCGGACCCATGATTTCAAAAATAAATACATAAAAAGGCCGTGGAGTTTTTTTGTTTGCAGTAAAAAGGAACTATTGCATCCCTCCCCGAAGGATATTTAAAAATAGCTTTTAAAATGTATGTCTCCCTTTATTATATAATCAATTCAGTTAATAGGCCTGATTTAAAAATATAGCCTCAAATGGTTGCTATTTAAAAAGTTGTAACGAACATTCTAAAGGCTGTGATAATGGCCAGTTTGCTGATAATAAGGACAAGCCCCACGTTTAGGAGCTTACAGATGGAGGCTGCTATGTGAGGTCCTTATTACATCCAGAGGGGCCTGTGTATGAGTGTGGTTGTATGAGCAACGCACTTCACTTCACAATGCCTTGCTCAGCGGCTCTTGGCTGCCTGCGTTTCCTGGTTATCTGTACCACTTTGTTCTGACCTCACTCATGAGTGGAAAAGTGTTTGGACATGGATGTCATCAGGATTCTCCCCTGGGCATCTGTGAGATGGACTACCTGCAGCCTAGCCCTAGTTTTTTAAAGCCAGTAGGTCAGGCTGCTGCCCCCCTTTGTTTCCGGGTGTCCCGACTACCCAAAAGCCACAAAATCCACATGGAGAGATGTCTTATAGTTTCTGTAATTCTTGAGGTTTCACACCTTTTAATTTTTGTAATTCTGTTTCATATTGTGGTATCATTTTCTTGAGTCAGCAACAAGAAGAAATACAGCTCTGAGCTAAAAGGTGCTATCCTGGGTTTTTTCCACCATCATTAACATGCCGATGCTTGAGTCTGTACCATATGTTTCTTATCTCTATCCAGTGCAGTAATTGGTGTCTTAACAGTATGGGGTATTAGGACCTTCTTCTGGTCAGACCACTGCTACTCCCTCCTCTGACGTCGAGTCCATTGACGTGGAGTTGATTCTGACTCATGTTACAGAGCAGAACTGCTCTGTGGGGTTTTCTTGGCTGTAATCTTAACAGAAGCAGATCACAGGCCTAGATTCTGCGTTGCCACTGGGAGGGTTTGAACTACCAACCTTTAGGTTTAGGAGTCGAGCGCGAACGTTTGCACCACCCGGGCAACTTTTGAAGGGATGAGGAGGGCGCAGGTCCTGACTCAGCTCACTCAGAGCCAGAGCTGACTGAATAGGTGTGTGTGGTAGGTTGAAAGGTTTTGAATTCTTGCCTACTTTTCTTGAGCTTCTGGGGCTAAAGCATCAGGAGTATGAATCCTAATTTGCAAACTGGTATCAAGCATCTTCTGTATCTGTCCCCTTTTTTCTATCCATCTTGGCAGCCGTGTGGCCCACAGCCGGCAGAGCCCGGCCTTCTCTGACCAGCATATCCACCTCCATCAAAACAAGCTTCCAGAAACGTCTTTAGAAACTGTGTTTTTGAGAGGTGAATTTAAACCTCAAGAGAGTTCCAATCACATCTTCTCCTTGTTCTGAGTTGATTTTGTAGTGATGGGCATTACTGTGGGGGAAGGTTTTGAAGACAGACCTGCCCTGGGTCTACCTGTGCCGTTCACCTCAGGGTTCCAGGAATAGACCCACATCCATTTTTTTCATTACCCTAGGGTGATGGGGCTGCCTAGAGACAGCCCTACTCTCACTGCTGGGCACCTTGTAACTAAATACAGTGAGCTGGCATATCTGAAAAGTAACAAGTCCAGCCAGGAAAGTGTTGACAGATATGTGGATTTTACTTGACAGTTTCGTAGGACACAGAGGAGGTAGTTACACATCCAGCAGAACTTCTTAAAAACCTCCTTTAAACACTTTTTTCCTTTCCCCTACTCTCTTTTTTCTCTTCCATGAGTGCCCTAGCCAAGCCCCTTAGGCCTCCTCCCCTGCACCTGTCCTCTCTACACCTTGAAACAAGCCCAGACGTTAGCCAGACTGAGACCATCTCTTATTCCTGAAGCTCGCTTCTGGCATGGGATGCCCTTCATGTACTGCCAAGTTTTATTCTATATCTTCCAAATTAAATCAGACAGTTTTATGTCTGACTCCAAACCTAGAGATTCTGATGGGGCAGAGGAGAGAGCATGACATTCTAGTAGGATCCACAGATCAGGTTTTTGGGAGCCTCTCATAATATGTCTTCCTTGATGTGTTTGCAGGAGTACAGATTACTCTCAAGATGAAGGCATGCAACAAGTCCACCCACATGCGGCCTCACTGTCTGGGATCGCATTATCTTGTGTCTGTGTCCTTTGAGGGGCATGATGAAGCGAATGCTTAGGGTGGAAATGGGTGACATTTTCTGCCATCGATCTGTTTTTTGCAAGCCATCCATGAGGCCATGAGGTCCGCATTTGGAGTTCATCTTCATGCAATCTGCTTTTTCCAGCTCCGGACATCTCTAGGGAAAGGAAGAGCATTTATTCGCTACTCCCTGGTGCACCAGAGGCTGGCAGACACCTTACAGCAGTGCTTCATGAACACCAAAGTCACCAGGTAAATATGTGACAGTGTTGGGGTCTGCCCCCATGCCATTCAGAAATGAACTAAAGTCCCCTCCTGAGTAGTATTGACATTGCAGAGTCCTTCCACATCTGATCATTCTCTTCTACCTCTACACAGTCCTTGACGCATGTGGGGCAGGTAGCACTGTGTTCTTACAGGTGAGAAAAACGAGGCTCAGAGACCAAATGCCTTTCTCTAGGCCCCACTGATCTTAAGTTGTGAAGCTGGAGCTTGGATCCAGGTCTCCTAACTTCTACTCCAGGCAGGTTTCCCTGGAGGATGGAGTGTCCTTGGTGCCAGTGCTAATGGGCAGACCCCACTGGTCACCCTAGAAGGCCCACGTGTTGCTGCCTCAGCCTCTCAGCAGAATCACTTGTGAGGCTTTTAACACCATCGAGCCTGGGACCTCCTCACCTGAGATACTGGGTCAACATCTGCTGGGGTGTCTGGGTTCCCAGGAGACTGTGATGGGCACCCAGGATTGGGAACCACTGTGGAGCCCAAGTTGTCGGTGGGTGGGCGTCAGCCTTCGTGCTGCTAGTGCAGGGGAACAGGAGGGAAGCAGGGAGGCAGGGATGGAGTGTAACGGGGAGAGGTAGGAGGTCAGATTAGGAGCTGCAGACCAGGAACCAATAAGTGAAACTTCTTTCAACACCCCTTTTCCAGCTGTGCCTCCCCTCTTTCCAGGGACTGTTCTACCAGTTAATCAATGAAATCACCTCTAAATTTAAAAAAAAAAAAAAAACTGTCGAGGGGGACAAATGTTTCCTTTTGTCAGCTTTAAGACTGAGTTGCGCGTAAAGATGTATATCTCGTGCACATTTGGTTTTAAGGGTATTTTGTTGCAGGTATTGGTGAAGATCGTCAAAACATCTTGAACTTCTAGTGTATTACCATTCACAGACATCAGCCAAGTAAACCTTTAAACTCCTCAGTGTTACCTATTTTGGCTCTTCTTGCTTCACATGAAATGAAATAACCACCACCTCAAAGTACAGATAACATTTCTGGGTAGTTATTTTGTTTCTTGGCTCTTAAATTGGTGTCTAGACAGAAATCAACCATGAGTTCAGTGCCCCATGTTGAGTTCTTAAGAAGAAATAGAAGGTGAGCTTCTCTTTCAAAAAGGAAGTGTTCCTTCCCCAGTGACTGCTCTTTCTTGGTAAGCAAGTGAGATTTAAGATTTCTCACCTCCTTTATGGGAAATGGAAACCGTGGTGGTGTCATGGTTAAGTTCTACAGCTGCTAACCAAAAGGTCAGCACTTTGAATCCACCAGGCGCTCCTTGGAAACTCAATGGGGTAGTTCTACTCTGTCCTGCAGGGTCTCTATGAGTCAGAATCAACTCGATGGCAACGGGTTTGGTTTTCTTTTTTATAGGAAGTAGGTACAGTATAAATAAGAAGGACTGGGCAGTGTTTTGTTCTGTTGTACGTAGGGTAGCTATGAGTCGGAACTGACTCAATGGCAGCTAAGAACAACATAAATAATAAATGAACAAGTGTCTGAGTTACCTAGCGCTGCTCTAACAGAAATACCACAAGTAGATGGCTTTAACAAACAGAAATTCATTCTCTCACAGTCTAGGAGGCTAGGAGTCCAAGTTCAGGGTGCCAGCTCCAGGGAAAGGCTTTCTTTGTCAGCTCTGGGGGATGGCGGTCCTTGTCATCCATCTTCCCCTGGTCTAGGAGCTTCTCAGTCCAGGGACCCCAGGTTGAAAGGACGCACTCTGCTCCTGGCACTACTTTCTTGGTGGTATGAGGTCCCTCTCTCTCTGCTTGCTTCTGTCTTTCATATCTCAAAAGAGATTGACTTAAAACACAACCTAATCTTGTAGGCTGAGTCCTGCCTCATTAACATAAATACCTCTTATCCTGCCTCATTAATATCTTAAACTGTTGCCATTGATCCTGACTCATAGCAACCCTATAGGACAGAGTAGAACTGCCCCATAGGGTTTCCAAGGAGCGGCTGGTAGATTCAAACTGTTGACCTTTTGGTTAGCAGCCAGGCTCTTAACCACTACACCACCAGGGTACATTAACATCTTAGACGTAGGATTTACAACACTTAGGAAAACCACATCAGATGACACGGTACTGGGAATCATGGCCAAGCCAAGTTGACACACATTATGGGGGACCCAGTTCAATCCATAACAATATGCATCTGGATCATTACAGTAATTTCTTTGAAGAAGAGCAAGTTTATTTGAGAGTTATGTGTTTCTACAGTGAAAATCAAATTGGTGCACGTGTGTGTCTAATTAATTTAGTAAACTGAGTTGGAATTTGATGAAGCAGAGCCACACTGGGAAAACTGATTAAATTCACTCTACCCTTCTCTCTTTATTTTGTGATTCATACATTTTTATGTTTTTCTGCAGTGACTGGTACTATGCAAGAAGCCCCTTTCTGAAGCCAAAGCTGAGCTCAGACATCGTGGGCCAGCTGTATGAGCTGTCCGAGGTTCAGTTTGACCTGGCATCGAGGGGCTATGACTTGGATGCTGCCTGGCCAGCGTTTGCCAGGTACTTTGAAGAATTGCTTGGTTTAAAAGACAGGAGAGAGAAATGCTTGAGGTTTTTGAAATTTGCCACCAGTCTGCTCAAAGCAGTGTTGCTTGCAAAGTAAATTACGTAAAGCTTTGCAACTTTTATGCCTGCTAATTTTACAGACTTTGTTGAATCATGATTAACAAGACCTTCTGAAGGTTACAACTTTAAACCAACCTAACTGGCCAGGTGATAGGGGGCAGTGGAGATGTATATGCAGAACTTGAAGGTTTTACATTTTTTTAAGCCACTTGTAAGAGTGGGAGTGGGGGAGCAGCTAGGCTTTTCTTATTTGTGTTTTTACAATGTTATTACAGAGGCCTTCCAGGCAGTAGATAGAGAGGGAGCAAAAGCTACAGCTTATCCTGCTGGAAAGTTTGCTCTATTTTTCTTTTTTCTTTGTTGAGATCATCAAGCCAGCCGCTTACCCTACATCAGAGTGAATCCTCACGACTTCTCCTAGAGGGGGACGTTGAGGAAAGAGAGAGTGGAGAAGCTTGGCCACAGCCACACAGCTGGGGGCAGGAGGGCCCGGCGCCAAACACAGCTAAACTCAAGGCCAGCAGTCTTTGTTTTGTTTGGCTTTCTGTTAATTAGGGTTTTGTTTTGTTTTTTTTTTTATTTCAATTTTTAATTTTTTGATTAGGAACTATTTTCTCTGTAGAGAAAATTACTAGAGACAATACCCACATACCGACCACCAGGATTCGTAGCTAACATTTTGCCATATTTACTTCAGATGGGTTTTTAAAAATGTTTTTATTTTAAAATAATTTCAGAATTACAGAAAAGTTGCAAAAATAGCAGAGTACTCATATATCCTTCACCCGGTTCCCCAGTTGTCAGTATTTCCCCGTAATTGTTTCATCATTATGCGCTGTATGGAGACATGCTGGTTTCTGTCCTAAACCACATTGCAGACTTGATTCCCCTTGACTCTTAAGTACTTCATTGTGTAGTCCCTGAAATCAAGGACATCCTCTTTTATAACCTCAGTACGGTTGTGAAAATGAGAAGATTAGCATTGACACAATATGGATAGCTGATTGACAGACTTGATTCAAATTTTGCCAATTATCCCAATAATGTCTTTCATAGAATAAATATTTTTGGCCCAGGATCACATGTTGCAGTTAATTGTCACATCTCTCTCTAGACTCCTTTAATCTGGAAGTTTCTTAGTCTTTTGTCTTTCATGTCATTGACATTTTTGAAGAGCCCCGGCCGGTTAGGTTGTAAAATGTTCCTTAATTTGGGTTTGGATTTGGGTTTATCTGGTATTTCTTCATTATTAGATTTACGGTCAATATTTTTGGCAAGAATACCTCAGATAGGATGCTGTGTCCTTCTCAGTGTATTATATCTGGAAGCACACAATGTTGGTTTGTTTCATAACTAATGGGGTTAACCACTATCATTTGATTACAATGGTGTTTGCCAGGTTTCTGTGAAGTTACTATTTCTCCCTTTGTAATTAGTATACATCATGGGGAGAGATACTTTGACATTCTGTTATTATCCTGTTTCTCATAAATCTCTTACTTACTAGTTTTAGAATCCATTGGTAATTCTTGCCTGAATCAATTGTTACTGTCGTGGAAACCAAGCAGTAATTTTGTAACTCCATTATTCCTTTTACGTTATTAGTTAATATTCTACTGTAAGAAAGTACATTTATTTATTCATTTACATCAGTATAAACTCATGGATTCTTATTTTATTCAATGGGTTATATTCTGTCACTGTCATTATTTATTTTGATGCCAAAATTATCCCGTGGGATCCCTTCATTCTGGTTCCTGTGGAGTTTTTGTTGTTGTTGTTATATCTGATACCCTTTTTCTTAAGAAATAAAAGATTATAGATCCCACTAAAGCCCCACCTACTGCCGTCCTTTCCCCTTTCACAGCCCTATAGTTGATGCCTGTCATTCCCAAATGTTTTATGTTTTTACTACTTGTGTGTATCCATAAATATTTCATATATATGGTTATGTGTGTGTATAGTTTTATTTTGTATGTTTTAAAAAATGTTACATATATTGAATCATGAGAGAGCGATCCATTTGCAGCTTACTTTTTAACTGAACATTGTTTTTGAGATTTTTATCTGTATTTGGCCTGGAGTTTTATCGATATAGAGCAGTGGTTGGCAAACTACAGCCTGCAGCCCACAGGGCAATCATCTGATTTTATAAATAAAGTCTTATTGGAACACAGCTTTGCCCGTTCATCTACATATTGTCTGTGGCCACATTTCATGCTACAGTGGCAGAGTTGAGTAGTTCCAACAGAGACCATACGGCCCACAATCCTAAAATATTTACTATCTGGCCCTTTACAAAAAAAGATTACCAACCCATGATGTAGACTACTCTGTTGTGCAAATAAACCACAGGTCATCTGTTTCCCTAGTGATAAAGAGTTAGACTGGTTCTAGTTTTTACCACTGTACCGGTACTGCAAAGAGCATCCTCATACATCTCCTTATACACAGATGTGACTGCCTTTAGAGTACATTGAGAAGTGGAATTGCTAGGCTGTGAAAACTAACTAAAAGGCAATAATATTGGATTAAGGAGAAGATTCAGGTGAAATAAAACCATGTTTAGTTTGAAATGTTCCTGCTAAAATGAGAGTTATCACATAAGACTACAAAGTTCTGGACTAGAACTGTCCAATACAACTTCCTGCAATGAGGGAAATGTTCTTCATCTGCGCCTCCCATGGCAGCCACATGAACTAGAAGCAGGTCTTCCAGCCTTGTTGTTTATGTGTAATACAAAGCAGTGACCATGAGCCCTTAAGCACAGTGTGACCTTTTTAAAATAAATTGATTGCTACCTGTTCCCTACTGGCAGCCAGACAATGGCAGGTACTAAAAGTTCAAGGAAAATTAAAACCCCAAGTTAGGAAATACACGTTCACTTAATTTTTTTTGGCAATGGGAAGAAAGCCATCTGACTGAATTTTAGCAGTAGAGCTCACCCGTCACAGTCCACCATAAATGTGTTCTTTGGAGGAAACTGTTGGGTTTTGCCATCTTATGCTGTATCTGGGAAGGCAGTGCCCCCTACCACCACCTGGGTGCCTAGTGACTACCAAGGCCTCCCTGGGTGTGTGTGCGTGTGTGAGATTTCCTGTTCTGAATACAGGTATGTCTGTTCTGTGGCCCCACAGGAGGACTCTGGCTACTGGCTCTTCTGCTTACATGTGGAAACCCCCCAGCCGCAGCTCCAGTGTGAGCAGTCTGGTGAGCAGCTACCTACAGGTAATGCCAGAAAGGCTGGGATTTCCTCGCTGTAGTGTTAACCAGGTTATATCCTTGCCCCGGCAACTCACCGGTGATGTTGTCAGATACTTGTTGTTCTAACCAGAGCTGTATAACCCCTGGGTTATACCCACTATTTCCTGGAGTCTGGGTTTTTACAACCAAATATTTAGGCGCTTTTTAAATTAAATTGCTTTAAAAGCTTTTAAAGGAAGCAGTTTAACCTGATGGTTAAAAGCGATAGAGTCAAATCCTGACTCTGTCACCTACCAGCTGTGTGTTCCTGAGCAGATTACTTACCCTCATGAAGCTTCAGTTCTCTCCTCCATAAAATGGGGATAATAAAAGCCGTGCTGGCTTGGGAGGTGGTTGTGGGGATTGACTGAGGGAGAGCATGTACAGTGCTTAAGGGCTTGATATGGGGAAGTGCTTAGTAAGTGCTAGTAGGTAGGGTTAGTTTGGTTAATTTTATTAGAAATGTGCATGTATCATTATAGCTGCATGTAGTTTTGTGGGAAAGGATACTGAAATGAATCAGCCATAAAAATTAAGAATGATCCCTATCAAAAGCATTAAGTCTCTTTACCTGGAGCAACAGAGGAAGAAGGAGAGTCAGGAATAGGAGGAGAGTATGGAATGTGTGGATAGTTGCCTCTGTGAACAACTGCCTCCTTTGCCATGAGACCATAAGAACTGGATGGTGCCCAGCTACCGTTACTGAACCTTTTGATCAAAGATTCCATAGAAGAATCCTGATCAAAGGGAGAAAAATAAAGAACAAAATTTCTAATTCTCATGGGCTCTAGACTGTCTGGAGCCATGGAGGGTGAATGAACCCTAGATAATAATCTTTAAACCAAAAATGTCCCCCAAAGTCTTCTTAAAACCAAACAATAGTTTAGCTTAACTAGTGAAAAAGGCCTACCTTGAGCATTATGTTCTTTTAAGAACTATCTATATGGGATCAAATTGACAACAACAACTCTAAAGATTAGATGAGAACCTTGGGGACAGTGAGTTTATGATAACGAGGGAGGAACAACTCAGAAAAGGAGAGGGAAAATGATGGCACAAGTCAAAGAATATAATAAATGTCACTAAATTGTACATGTAGAAACTGTTGAATTGGTGTATGTTTTGTTGTGTATGTTCTCAACAACAAAATAAATAAAATTTAGAAAAAAAAAAAGAAGCATTAAGAGTAGAAAGTAGACTAATCTTTCACCTTCTTGTGGTTTAGTCATGACAGGAGTTGTAGGTCTGGTGCAGTGGGTAAACAGTAGCTTTACATATAACTTAGTTTATCGAGGAAACCCTGGTAGCATAGTGGTTAAGAGTTCAGTTGCTAACTAGAAGGTCAGCAGTTCGAATCTACCAGGTACTCCTTGGAAACTCTATGGAGCAGTTCTTCTCTGTCCTGTAGGGTCGCTATGAGTCGGAATTGACTTGATGGCAACGGGTTTGGTTTTTGTTTTTTTTTTTTTTTTAGTTTATCTAAGAACCAACACCCATTTTTTAAAATAAAGCTAAAGAAGGCTGGCACGGGAAATGTGAGTGTGAGTCTCAGTGGACCCCATGCATCTGGCACCAGGTCTTTGGAATGTACTGGTGACTTTCTTATGGCAGATGCCTTGAGCAAAGGGTTTCTAGTCCGTTGAATGATAGCTCGTCAGACTAACCTCAGATCATGTAATTATCGTATTTTTGGGTTCTGCTCTCACATTAAACTCTAAAGCTTTTCCAAGTGGCCATGGAGTTTCATCCCAAAGCCACCTGTTTTGTGTGTTTTCCTTGTCAGACTCAGGAAATGGCCTCCAGCTTTGATGTGAACAGTCCCTTAAACAATGAAGCACTGGAGGGATTTGACGAGATGCGGCTGGAGCTGGACCAGTTGGAGGTGCGGGAGAAACAGCTGCAGGAGCGAATGCAGCAGCTGGACAAAGAGAACCAGGAGCTGAGGGCAGCTGTCAGTTCGCAGGAAGAGCAGCTGCAGGTGGAGAGGGAGAAGGGGTGCGCTGCCGCTGAGGAGAATGCCCGCCTCACAAGCCTGGTAGCAGAGCTCCAGAAGCAGTGGGAGGTCACCCAGGCCACCGAGAGCACTGTGAAGGAGCTACAGAAGTGTCTGCAGGCCCTGGAGCTGGGTGTGGCAGAGAAGGAGGACTACCAGTCAGCCCTGCAGCAGCTAGAGTCCATGCTGCAGCCCCTGGCACAGGAGCTCAAGGCCACGCGGGACTCACTGGGTGAGAAGAACCAGCAGTTAGTCAGTGTCCCGGCCTGGCCAGCCAGGGCTGAGCAGAAGGCAGATATGACCCTGGGCACAATGGGACAGCAAGAGCCCATCCTCAGCGACTCAGCCTTGGTGATCCAGGAACTGGGGGCAAAGCTTCAAGCCCTAGAGGAGGAGAGCACCAGGGTCCAGGAGCTCAACAGGCATCAGAGTGCCCAGCTGGAGCAGCTAACCAAGGAGCTGCAGCTGAAGGAGGAGGCCCGGGCCAGCCTGGAGTGCATGGTGAAGGAGATAGCCCTGCTCCGGGAAGAGCTGGCTGGGAAGGGGCAGGAGGCCGCCCAGCTCCGGTGCCAGTTGCAGGAGTCGCTGGCCCACATGAGCACCCTGGAGGAGGAGTTGACAGAGGTGAGGTGCAAGGAGCAGCAGTGGCGGAAGGAAGAGGAGCTCCTGGAGCAGGAGGCCAGGTCCCTGACAAGGCAGCTACAGCTCCTGGAGACCCATCTGTCACAGGTAAGCCAGCACGTGAGCAACCTGGAGGAGCAGAAGAAGCAGCTCATTCGGGACAGAGACCACCTCAGCCAGAAGGTGGGGACACTGGAGCAGCTTGCTGGACAGCCAGACCCAGAGCTGCCCGTAGCAGGTGACAGGGGTGAGATGCTGGCTCCTTTGCACTCCTCCCTGCCAAAGACCTGTGAGAAGCCAGAGGAGGAGCAGAGGGGCCCACAGGAGGGCCAGTTCAGTGATACCACAGGCGGCCAGGAGGAGGAGCTCCAGCTGGCCAACAGGGAGCTGGAGAAGGAGCTGCAGAAGGTTGTCCAGCGCAACCAGCTCCTGGAGGGCAAACTGCAGGTCCTGCAGGCTGACTACGAAGCACTGCAGCAGCGGGAGGCAGCCATCCGGAGCTCCCTGGCCTCCCTGGAGTCGGAGCAGGCCAGCATCCGGCTCATGGGCGACCAGATGGAGGCGAGCCTCCAGGCTGTGCGGAAGGCTAAGGAGATCATGAGGGCCCGAGTGGCGGAGAAAGATGCTGCCCTGAAGAGCAAGGAGGATGAGTGCCGGCAACTGCGGGAGGAGGTGGAGCAGTGCCGGCAGCTGGCGGAGGCCCGGGACAGGGAGCTCCAGGCTCTGAAGAGCCAATGCCAACAGCAGACCCAGCTGATTCAGGCCCCCACAGCAGAGAAAGGCCAGCAGGGGCTCAGCCCACCCCAAGATGACGCATCCCGTGAGCTGGCGGCCCAGCTGGCCGTGTCTCAGGCGCAGCTGGAGATTCATCAGGGGGAAGCCCAGCGCCTGAAGTCTGAGGTGGTAGACCTCCAGGCCAAGTTCCTGGCAGCCCTGGATGACCGGGAGAAGGCGCAGAGCCAGCTGGGTGTGGCTGAGGTAGTCCTGAGGGAGCACAAGGCTCTCGTGCAGCAACTGAGGGAACAGAATGAAGCCCTCAACCGAACCCACGTCCAGGAGCTGTTGCAGTACTCAGAGCGGGAAGGGGCACTGCAGGAGGAGAGGGCTGGTGAGGCCCAGCGGAGGGCGGAGGAGCTCCGGGCCCTGCAGGAGGAGCTGACCCAGGTGAAGCAAGTCTCCGCGGAAGCCCAGCTGGAGCAGGCCGAGCTTCAGGAGCAGCTGCACCAAGCCAACACAGACACAGCTGAGCTCGGCATCCAGGTCTGCTCACTGACAGCGGAGAAGGAGCAGGTGGAGGGGGCCCTAGCCCATGCCATCCAGGAGCTCCAGGACGCCAAAGAGGCAGCCTCAAGGGAGCGAGAAGACCTGGAGCGCCAAGTGGCCGCGCTGCAGCAAGAGAAGGAGAGCTTGCAGGAGAAGCTAAAGGCAGCTGAGGAGACAGCCGGCTCACTGGCTTGCCTGCAGTCCCAGCTGGCTCAGGCCGAGCAGCGGGCCCAGGGCCTCCAGGAGACCGCGCACCAGGAGCTCGACACCCTCAAGTTCCAACTGAGCAGTGAGATCATGGACTACCAGAACAGGTTTAAGGTAATCCAGGCCTCATCATCCAGGCTCCACCTGCCTCCCTGGGGCAGGGTCCAGTGGGTTTGTGAGAGGATGCACCTTCGGCCGTGAGGCAGGTGAGGGCCCAAGAATGTCCTGGGTAGGTCTAGGCACACACCCCTTAGTCCTGTCCTGCTGTCATAGCTCGCAATGGCATCTCTCCCTGCAGGAACACATTAGGGACAAAATGTTGGAGGATGATATCTTAGCCCAGAGGTCTAAACTCATTGCAAATAAGTTTGGCCCACACAGAATTTCTTTTTAGTAGCCAACATTTAAAGAGCAGGATGTTTTACAAATAAATTCCATTTGAGGACTTCCTTTGAAGTCTCAGAAGATCTGAAAACCCTAGGTCGTCATTCCCATGTGGCAACAGTCAGTGGGTAAGGAAGGCATGCCTCCTCCAGGTTTTTCCTTACACTCATTTGTGTACTTGCCCCGCTGCTTTGAGCATGTGAGTTTGAGACCCCTGCCTCGGCGTCTAGAACCCATTGCAGAGTGCCAACAGTTCATGACTGCCTGAAGTCCTGCCCTGGGTTCGTAGTCAATGAATAACCAGCCCCTTCACGTGCATGCTGATAGCAGGCGCAGTTGTCGGGAGCTGACTCAGAGTTTTCACAAGGCCCTTGGAAGAGTTTGAGAGATCAGCAGTGGCCACGTATCTTTGATACTGCACAAAGAAAACACCCAGAAGGCTAAGAGTGAGGACATGACAGGGCCATGGGCCTTTGAGTTCCATTGCTTATCCCATGTCTGCTGGCATTGGGGTCTGTACCGTCTGAGACCCCAGCAGACCACTCCTGACCTCTTGGCCTCCTCTCTTGGGCCACTGCACCGTGCCTCCACAGATGAGCCACCCACTCCATGCCACTCCAGGTGGCTCTTTGCCAAAATTAAATTCCAAGTTTGGGGACCAGGCTAAGTCTTTTTTCTTAGTAAGTTTGGAAGGATTTTGTCATCAATAAAGCGTAAGATTTATTGAGGGGAAAAAAGAGAGCTCGATGTTTGTACCCATTTGGAGGGTCGGGCTGAGGGGTCTCAGAGCAAGGATCCCAATTTCATGATCCCCTTCTCACCCGCCCCAGGCTGCCAGTGAGGAGTGCAGAAGCCTCAGGGGCCAGCTGGAGGAACAAGGCCAGAAGCTGCAGGCTGCTGAGGAGGCTGTCAGGGAGCTGAAGGTAGGCCCAGCTGTGTGGACCAGGGGAGCGCCCTTGCTGTGAGCCGGATCAGTGCTGGCCCAGCTGCCACCTGGGCAGGGAGCCTGGTGTGCTGGCCTCCACCTGGGTCATGTCCACTCCCAGCATGTGGACCTTTCAGGGAGAGGACATCTGGTTTGGTCTTTACTGGACCATTTAAGAGGGTTCCCTGCGGAACTTCCAGTTCCCAAGCCGGAGCTATTGTCAGTTCACGTTTGTATGCACCCAGAGTTTGTATGTGACCCCCTTCCACTCCCTGGACACCTGGCTGGAGCTGCCAAATGTGTTTTTCACCTGGCCCTTGTTTCTTACGAAAAGGAAATGAGTTGTCCATCTTGCCCATCTTTTTAGGTGTTCTCTAAGTCGGTGATTCTAAACAGAGCAGGACAGGCTCGTGCAGTCTTCAGACCAGTGACCCTTCCAGTGAACGCTGTCCCCTGCCACCCCTACCCCCACCTCCAACCCCACTTTCACCTGGAGAGCCTGGTACATGCCGCTCCCTCCAGCCACCACAACCAGCTGCAGTTGGTGCTTTAGGGACACAGTCACCAATAGGAGTGTGTCACACCCGCACAAACAGAGAGCAGAGGCTCTGGGCCTCTTGACCTTGAAAAAAACAAAACCCTCTATTTAGAAGTGACCCAGCCAGATGGGGCCAATAGCATACCAGTCACTTTATGGCATCATGCAAGGGCTTCTGCAAGCTGAGTGTTTTCTTCCTGATGTCCTATCACAGGCCACCCAAGCAGACATGGGAGAGAAGCTGAGAAGCACCAGCAACCACCTTTCAGAGTGCCAGGCAGCTGTGCTGCAGAAGGATGAGGAGGGGGCTGCCCTGCGTGCAAACCTGGAAAGGTTAGTTACACCATCCACCCACACGGCCACTGGTAGAGTCTTTAAGGAAGGGGGCGTTTGGTGCACAGTCATTTAGAAAGTCAGTCAGTCAGTCATCGCGGCGTAAAGAAGTCCTCTTAGAATTAAAAACACAACACAGAAAGCACTTGAGCCCAGCACATGCCACGGAGAACCTGACAGTCTGCCAGTCGCATTCCTCCGGACAGTTCTTTATTACACTAAAGAGCCTATCTCTCCAGTCTGTTTTATCTCTGGCAGGGCATGTTACAGATCAGTAACCAACGTCATGCTTTAGAAAAATTAAAAGGAAATAAAAGTTGAGATATAACAATAATGGTAATAATAACAGCAAACATTAAAATAATGCTTAAGCATGTGCCGGGCACTATTTTATGTACTTTGCATATATATTTACCTATTTAATCCTTCCAACAATTTTGAGGAAGATATTATTTTTTATCCCCATTTTACAGATGAGTAAAATGAGACTCAGAGGAGTTAAGTAGCTTTCCCAAGGTCATGCAGCATGTAAGTGATGGTATAGTAGGATTGGCACATAGACCATTTGGCTCCAGAGTCTGTTTTCTCAACAACTACCTTAAATTACTTTGGACATGTTATCAGGAGGGGCCAGTCCCTGGAGAAGGACATCATGTTTGGTAAAGTAGAGGGTCAGCAAAAGAGAGGAGGACCCTCAAGGAGATGGGTGGACACAGTGGCTGCAACAGTGGGCTCAAGCATGGCAACGGTTGTGGGGATGGAGCAGGACTGGGCAGTGTTCCATTCTGTTGTACATAGGGTCTCTGTGAGTCGGAAATGACTCGAGGGCACCTAATGAAGACCTTAAAAAACAAGTATCGGTGGACTCACCTGGCGTCCTCCTAGCAACCTGGGGTCAACCTGATCTCCCACAGTAACCTTTGTATTTGGTGAGCAAGGAGAGTGAGGGGATTGGGTGTATGAGGGGAGTCTTGAAGACTAGAGGAGTGCATAACTAATAATGCTGAGGGGCTCCCCCACTGGGAAGGGCAAGGGGACCCCCTGTTGAGACCTGGGTGAGCCCAGAAGGATGGGAGAAGCTGGGAGTGGTAGATAATCAAGAAAATTTACCACTTCTCCACCAGGACCCAGAAGGATCTTGAAAAAGCCACGACAAAATTCCAAGAGTATTACAACAGACTTTGCGAGGAGGTGACAGACCGAGAGAGGAATGACCAGAAGATGCTTGCTGACCTGGATGACCTGAACAGAACCAAGAAGTACCTCGAGGAACGCCTGATAGAGCTGCTTAGGTGAGTGTCGGGACAAATGGCTGGCTGAAGGCTTCCCGCCACATTTAGTTTTTCTTTAATAAATGCAAACGCTGTTGAAAGGATGCTGCAAGGGAACTGGGCCCCCGTCCCCTCCACCTCTTCTGCACATACTCAGTTTGTTGTTAAGGGCCCCACATGCTTTCAGGGTCTCCTCAGACCATTTACAACCTTACTGGGGTGAATCCCACTGTTCACACCCTGTGCTTCTCTGGGTTTGTGTTTTCATTTGATACATGTACTTGTTTTCAATCTCTCTATGTGCTTAGCCATAAGAGTGACAATAAATGAGGTTTAATATCTTCAGGAATTTCTCTGTTTTCTTGTCCCCCTCTTCATGAGTCCTTTTTCCTTCCCTTCCATCCTACTTTCCCCAATACCAGCGGTCCCAAACTCCAGTGCTGGCAGGGACCAGACAGGTGCTGTAAATGTGTGGACGGCCAGCAAGGGACTGTGAGAAGCTGGAGGACACAGCCGCAGCCTGCTCCTGCCACCTGGTGCCACACAGGCATTGGGCCCAGAGGGGCCAGATTGCCTTACTTCTCAAGAGAAGGAGGAAATCTGGATTTTTTTGTGTGAAATCTTTTGTTTTTTAAAAAAGTTGGAAAGTCGTTCAAAATTTTTTTACACTTTCTCCCGTGGAAATTTTTAGAGCTACAAAAATAGAATGGTTTAATGAACACCCTTGTACCTGTCACCCAGCTTCAGCATTATTCAGCTCATGGCCAGTCTTGTTTCATCTGTACTTCCACCCATTTCCATCACCTCCGCAGGTTATTCTGAAGCAAATCCCAGACATGATAGCATTTCATCCACAAGTATTTCACTGTGTGCCTCTCCAAGACAATGACTCTTCATTTTAAAACACCACAGTATCATTACCACATTTCAAAATGAACTCTGATTCCTTAATATCATCAAGTATGTAGCCAGTTTCTAATTTTTCCAATTACCTTATAATTTTTTTTCATAGTTTGCTCGAATCAGGACCTAAATTAGATCCATACGTTGCAATTGGTGATGTTTCTTAAGATTTCTTTTAATCTGTGGGTTACCCCACCATCTCTCTAACTTATTTCTTTTCTTCTTTGCAATTTATTTTTTAAGAAGTCAGGTCATTCATCTGGTAGAGTTTCTCACAGCCTGAATTTTGCCAATTGCATCCCTGCGGTGTCATTGAACATGTTCTTCTATCCCTTGTATTTCCTGAAAATTGATAGTTAGAACTAAGGTTCTCAACTCTGGCTGCACATTAGGGTATCTTGAGGCGCTTTTTAAAAAATACCCACTAAATCAGAATTTCTAGGAGTGGGGTCCAAGGCATCAGTGAGCCAGAGTAGAGAACCACTGCTTTCCTAACGGCTTGCGCAGACTTGGGCTCCATATTTTGGCAAGAACCCTTCAAAGAGTTGATTGATAGTATTGGCTGTTTCCTTTGGGAGACACTTAGCATCTGGCTGGCCCCCTCTTTATGATGTTAGCAGCCATGGATAAGCAGTGCCTAGATCTGCTAATTCATTGTTGTTGTTGTGTGCCATTGAGTTGATTCAAACTGATAGCAACCCTATATGACAGAGTGGAATGGCCCCATAGGGTTTCCTAGGCTGTAATCTTTATAGGAACGGATCATCACACCTTTTCTCCTGAGAGCTACTGAGTGGGATCAAACCGTTGACCTTCAGGTTAGCAGCCAAACATTTAACCATCGTACCTTAAGGGCTCCTTACTAATTAGGGATTGCAAAATGACAATATCAAAATTATAACAGATTTGGAACTTTAAAAACTCTGCTTGCACGTCATCAATTTTGCAAACTTGGAACTTATGGCACTCGTGACCTCTGAGCTCAGACCTCCTCCTGTGGTGTGTGAGGAAAACCCTAGGTGCTGTGAGCATTCCCACATTCCCAGGGTGTGTGCGCCTGACCTTCTGGGGCAGAAAGGATGGAAGCTGTGGACCAGCTGGGAGAATGGAGCTGGTCCAAAGAAGAAGTCTTCATGCTTCCTGACAACTTTAAGTGTCCTTGAAAAGACCAATCAATCTGTATTCTGGCTGTTTTATTTAAGGGGAGGGGTCTTTGGTTGATTCAAAGTCCCTGGCCAGTGATGGAGCCAGTTTCCCTCAGGCCCTAAGTAGCTCTGGTGCTACATCTTCAGTGGCTGGTGTGCTACTAGGGCCACATCAGCCCTCAGAGCATGTTGGCTAGGATTCCATCCGGGAAAGAACTAAACCTTTCCACATCAGAAACCGGAAGCCACAAGATGACATTAGCAGCACTAGGAAGGCTCTGTACACATTAGCTCTGGTACATCATGCATTTTCAGACGCCATCAGACGTTTCTGAAAAGCCTCATACCTCTTCCATCTGGCTCCCTGGAGTGACCTTACCATCTAAGATGGACATCTGATCAGATTTTCAGGCTGAGAAATCCTTGCTCTTCTCCAATGATTAGTTATTACCTGAACAAACCCTAAAAATATAAAGGACCCCCAACACAGGTACGATTTGGACGGGGGCACATTTGTGATCCTTGGACTTACAGCACGTAGACTTCATGATGGCGCGCTACAGCTTAAGCTTGCTAGTAATGTGCACTGTCAGCTAGTGACCTTTGTCCCTGGTAGAAGCTCTCTGCAGTTGACAGAGCCCTTTATGTACATCACGGGCCTCATTTGTGCATTCACTGGGTCCCACAGCTACTCATCAAAGCACATGTTGGTTAAGAACCTGCAGGTTGGGAGGACCCTGCCAAATCTGGGGATGTTGTAGAGGAACACAGGGGATCTAGGGTGGGAGGTGTTTCCAAGGTAAAGGTGAGTTTTCCTTCTGAGTTGGCAAATTTGGAATCAGTCTTCTTAAATGAATCAGGGACAGTTCTCTTGTTTTCATGGATTCTTTCTTCTTTCTTTCTAATGTGGTTTTGTCCCAGGGACAAGGATGCTCTCTGGCAGAAGTCAGATGCCCTCGAATTCCAACAGAAGCTCAGCACGGAGGAGAGGTGGCTCGGGGACACGGAGGCGAGCCACTGCCTTGACTGTAAGAGGGAGTTCAGCTGGATGGTGCGGCGGCACCACTGCAGGTCAGCGGGCAGCTCTGGCATCTGTAAATGGCTCTGAATGAGGAATCGTGATAGGCACTGGCGCCCTGGCTGGCTCTCTGGGAAAAAGCACGCTGCTTTTTGGTTTTAAGGGAACAGACAAGAAGGCTGTATTGGTCAGGGTCCTAGCAGGACACAGAGGGCTCTGAAAAGGTGCTTAATAAAGAGGTATGGGTGGGGCTGAGGGGACTGACAAAGGCTGTGTAGCACCTGGAGATCAGCAGCCCTTCGGCCATCTCTCAGCCTGTGGGGACTGCAGGGAAAATGGCATTGCAGGAACGCAGCGAGAGCTGGTGCTGAGGCTTCGTTAGAGGAACACAGGCAGAGCAAAGGCCCTGCTAGGGCACAGAGAAGGGTGGGTGAAAGTGACTCGGGGTGGGGAGGGTGGAGAATGGTCAGTGCAGGTCTGTGAGGGTTGTGGTCTCCTCTGAGACACCTACAGCTCTGTGTCAGGGAAGGTGGGCTTGGCCACACACTTCCTCTGCCTACCTCCAAGGACCTTAGAAAATAAAACATTCTTCTACTAATGTTACTGAGATGGCTTTGTACGAATCTTATAAAGTGAGCCTTCAGGCCACACTCTAAAGTGGAACAAAGCCAGGTCTGATAAGAGCCATGTGGCATCCAGAGCCCAGTACAGAGCTCTGCGGATCTGGTCACAGCACACGATGCCCACAGTGCATCATCCTCATGGCCCGCGTTTGTTTCGTTCCCAGGATATGTGGCCGCATCTTCTGTTACTACTGCTGCAACAACTACGTCGTGACCAAGCACAGTGGCAAGAAGGAGCGCTGCTGCCGGGCCTGCTTCTGGAAGCTTAGTGAGGGCCGCAGCTCCCCTGACAGCACTGGCTCGGGCAACAGCCAGGGAGAGCCCGGCCCCGTATTACCACCAGCCCAGGCTGGGCACCAGGCCACCGGAGGCCAAGGTCAGGCTCCTGCTGCTGCCCATAGTGTTCTCTGGGTGCTACTTCCCCATCTTCTTGTGGCTAGTTAGCTTAATTCAACGTTTTCCAAACTTAAGCACTAAAGAGGTTCTAAAAGTATATTACCACCAGTTTGAGACTTTCTTTTTGATGCAATTAGGATTGAAAGAGAATTGAAAAAAAGAGTGACTTTCTCATGGTATGATTCAGTGTTATTTAACGTGAGGTCTGTGTACCTCTTAACTCATGTACCACCACTGGAACACATGCCACACTTTGGAAGATGCTGTTTACCGGAATCTCAGCCCTGGTATCCAACCCTCTCTCCCAGAGGAAAGCCAGGAGTTGTGTCTAGAACGTCCTCTACTCTCTCCCTGCAGCTCACAACTGTCTCATAATTGCCCAAGGAGGATGTACTCTCTTGTGTGCCCTCCCACTTGGACCAGTAAAAGGAAGCAGGATTTGGTTCATGCTGCCTCTGCCCTGAGCACAGCCTAGCAGATCAGCCCAGGCAGCCCACTTGGATATAGAGATGTAGAAAACCAGAGGGGCAGAGCTGAGATGGCAGGGGTAGAAGTGGGTCTCATCTCTGTCTCCATAAGCTGGTCCCTAAAGACTTCTCCTTGACCTCTGCCTGGATCCAGGCCAGCCCGCTTTTTAGAAATATTATTAGTTCCTATTTTGCTTAACTGGATCATCAGGAAGGTTGGGAGACCCCATTATTTTTAGCAGGTACAAAGAACTGCTTAGGGAGAGGGATGTACTTTGTACAGCATTTTGTGCTTATTTTACCATCCTTATAGCTTCAAATCTTTTTGCCCATTTTTTAATTTTTTTCTTATTGAGTTTTGAGATTTATTGATGTATTCTGGATACAAGTTCTTTATCAGATACGTGTTTTACAGTTATTTTCTTTGAAGCGATAGCTTGTCTCCCTATTTTTTTCCAAAGAGCTGAAGTGCCTTTTCAATGGCAGAAGTTTATAATTTTGATGAAGTCCAATTTACCAATTTACCAATTTTTTCTCTTATGGATCAATTTTTTCTTCTCTTTTGGTGTCATATCTCTTTTTGCCTAACCCAAGGGCTCAAAGATCTTCTGTTTTCTCCTAAAAGTTTTATAGTTTTAGGTTATATACTTAAGTCTATGATCCATTTTGAGTTAATTTTTGTATATGATGCAAGGTATGAGTAGAGATTCATTTTTTTGCATATGGTTGTCCAATTGTTGTAACACCATTGGTTGAAAAGTATTTTCCATTGAATTGCTTTCGCACCTTTGTTTATATTTGGACTGTATTGCATTCTGTTTATCTATGTGCCTATTCTTTTGCCGCCACCACACATAGTTTTATAGGAAGTCTTAAAGTCAGGCAGAGCGAGTCCTTCAACTTTGTTCTTTTTCAAAGTTTTGGCTATTCTAGGTCCTTTCCTTTCCATAAAAATTTTAGAATCCATTTGTCAATTTCTACAAAAAATCCTGGTGAGATTTTGATTTTGATTGTGTTGAATCTCTAGATCAGTTTAGGGAGAATTGACCCCTTAATAGTATCAAGTCTTCCAATCCATGAATATGGTATATTTCCATTTATATGAGTCATTTTTTATTTCTCTCAGTAGACAGTGTTTTGAATCCCTATTACCCACTTCCCCTTCCCTCCTTTTCCTCCTTTCTTCCCTCTGCCAGCCTCAGAAGGCAGGTTCAGGAGTGTGGCTGAGTCCATGGAAAGAAACCAATCCCTGGCCCCCTTTCCATCCCCTTCCTCAAGCCCTCCATTATGTAGACTTCAGACAGAAGGAAGAGCGTTCCTTCTAAAGCACGGTCTGTCCCAGTCACCATCTAGCAGGGCCAGCTGGGAATTTATAGCTCACATGAACTGTTATTGCTAGGCGGCCCAGGAACCCTTGCCGCTGACTCACTTGTGGGTATTCAGTGGTAACAGAGGGTAGCATCGTGCCAAAGTCCCTTGTTTCGGTTTCTTACATTTCCTGCCTCCTCATTTCTTTCATTTACTTGGTTTGCCTCATATTTTCCTGCCATCATATTTTCCATGACGTGTGCAAGAGGGTGCTTGTGGGTGGTGACTGCACAGGAGCACCCATGTGACTAGTCCTCCTACTGAGAGGCCCACGGAGTTGGATGCAAGTCCCCTGGTCAGAGCATGATGCCATCTGCAAGTCCTCGAGCAGAGGGAGGTTTTTTCCCATCCACCAGTGGATTGGGGTGAAATGCAAGTCAGACGGAATTTTGCTCCCAAAGAGGCACGAATAAGTACTGCCTGTGTCTTAAGGAGCAAGGAATCAGTGGCACCGAGTGTGTTTTCTTTTTTGTTAGGTCTTTCCTGATAATGTTGCGATAGGTTCTTTCCTTTTAAGTAAAGGACCTCAGAGAATGCGTAAGAAGGTCAAACCTCTCCAAAGTCCTGACTTTGAGAAGCCTCTTAAGTCGTACATTTTGGTTTCATCTGTGGTCTCCTCTTCTGCTTTTCTGGAGTATCCCAACAGCCATTTCTCTCACATCTGCACAGAATAGCTGTCAGTTGAATGGGCATTTAACATGTGTCCGGCGGGCTTGCTCTGCACAGCTGCACTCCTCACTTTCCCAAGGGCCCCTCCCCATCCCGGGCATAATGGTGTGTGTCTCTTCTCTCTTGATCTCCTTTGTGGCCCGCATGCAAACACAGACTGCAGGCCGCCAGACGATGCCGTATTTGACATCATCACGGATGAGGAATTGTGCCAGATTCAGGAGTCCGGCTCCTCCTTGCCTGAAACACCCACTGAAGCAGATTCTCTGGACCCAAACTCAGCTGAACAGTGAGTAGACATCACCTCCATTTCCTGCGTGCTGATGAAGTGCCCGGCCCATGTGCTTTCTTATCAAAGGACCAGTCGCAGGCTTGGCTGTCTTTGCCTAAGGGAGGGTGCCTCAAGACAAGTCTTCGGGACAGGATGGCCCTGGGAAGTGCCCCAGGGTTCGGGAGCTCCCATGCATGGTCAGTGCTGAGCCTTGTCATTTCCTGGGACGCGTCAGTGGTCTCCCTGACGGCAGCATCCCCAGGAAGGCCTGTCTTCCTGGGCTTGGGCAACCCTTGCCATGCTGCCCTTGGCCATGCTCAGAGCAGCATGCTGTTCTTTAAAAACCATGTTCATCTTTGGGAACCACCAGACAGGCGTGGTAATGACGCCACGGGAAAGGAAGTTTGGATTTAGTTCAGTTGTCTCAGGCAGTTGTGTTTTCTAAGAGTTCGCTTTAGCACCACATAAGCCCTCCCAAAGCCCCATAGTTCTAAAAGCAATAAAAAATACGGGCAGGTCTGTTACCCTGAGGTCGGCTTTCCACTCACCCAGCTGCACTGTGCCCCAGCATGGTATCGTGACGCTGCTGTCAGTCATGACCCTGACCCGCTGACCTGACTGCTCTGTGAATTGACAGCGTCAGCAAAAAGGCGTCCTTGAGCTACTGTTCTCCCTTGGCTCTCTCATTTTTCTGGTGTATTTGTTTTCCAACAAGGTTTTTGAGGAGTTTTGCAAGGACAGTTTTTTTTTAAAAAAAGACAAAATAAACTGCACAAAGTGCCACCATATCAAATGTCAGGAGTTTATGCCAGGGGACCCATAGGAAAAGGCCAAGTTTCCCTCCACAGCAGCCTCACTTGGTATTTCTCAACCCCTGGTGGCTGCCTTAGATGCAGTTTCTACAGCAAAGCATTGGGTGTTGAGAAGCTCAAGGAAGAATCGACGTGGCTCCCAGATCCCAGACGTTGCTTGACCCACTTTCACTCCCGCTTAGGAGTTTTGTGATGTTCTTGCTGACTCAAGTTGAGATCTTCCTGCTCAGAATTCCAAGTAGGGCCAGGATTGGTCCGTTGATGGTAGTATCCAAGATTTCTGCTGTGTGGGAGATGTATTTAATCTTCATAAGGCTCTCAGCATAGGCAACTTTAGGCCAACGTGTATCTCTCCACACTCCTCAGTTCTCTGACTAGAACGTGACTAAACCCTCCATGTTGTAGCCTCATGGATAAAGCCAACCTGGTCACACAGCCCAAGACAGCCCCTGCTCACTGTTGCTTTCCTTTTCCTCCCTGGAACACCCTCCCCTGAAGCGCTCCCTGACCCTGTGGGCCTGAGACCTTTTCCCCAGCCCCTATGGCCCAGTGGGCCCGGAGCGTGTTCTGCTCCGTTAGCACTGAGTGCACTCTGCCATCATCACCTGGCACCTCCTTACTGACCCTGACTCACCTCCCAGCAGATGGGTAGGTGGTCAGGTGAGCAGGACCAGGAGACTCAGTCCTATGGGGACTACCTTTGGCTTGCAAGCATCTCCTGTAGCCTGTGCAAGAAAGTGACCACCCTGTAGCTCCCTCGGTCCTCATCTTTCCCTTCCTCTTCCGCTTTCCCAGTAGGGACAAAAACAGAAGGCACTCTGACTGCTGACACAAAATGTGTTTTCAGCTGTGGGAAATCAGGAACCATTCCAGGGAAAGGAAACTACCAGTTTGCAGGCCCATGGGTTCCAGGGCGGATCTGGGACTGGTGGTTGGAAACCCACAGTCCCCTGAGCTTCATCTGTTTGGGTGAAGAGCAAACCTCCAAGTCAGGTAGACCTGCATTGTCAGACATCTTTGTGCCTTGGGTAGAGATAAATCCAAGCATCCTTGGTAGCTTTTTCTTTATTGCTTTTTATATATTTTTTTTTTTTTAAGTTTAAGACCCAATGCAAAAAGCCAGGAGTCTAAGAAGGTGGGGGAGATACAGACTCCTGGATTTGTAAAAGCATCCCTGATGGGAAACTTAGAGAAAAAAAGGAAACCCAAGGCAAGACACCATCCAGAAGGGATTAAACAGCCTGTTAAGTCCAAATCCATTAACACTGCTTGGAAGTAGCACTGTTGAAAGAAGCTCTTGCTGATTACCTTCCTGTACCAGTTACTTTTACACATGACCTCACTTAGTCCCCTTGTAGCACTTCAGGGAGTAGGGATTATTATCCCTAGTTTACAGGTAAAGAAACGGAAGCCTTGGGAGACCAGATAACTTGCTGAAGATTATGTGTCCATAAGTGTCAGGCTCGGCTTTGAACCCAGCACTGCTCCCTCCAGTCCACAGGCTTGAGATTTTGAAGAGTTCAGCTCTTGTGCAGGTCCCCATTTCCCCATGTGACTGTCAGAAACCTGCCCATCTTGCTCTGCCCCATGTCTACTTCTCCCACACATACACTCCTTAGGGCTAAGGAAGCTGCTTGCCTTGCCCTTCCAGTAAGTGATGGGACAGGAAGAAGTCCCAAAGTCCAGCCTTGCAGGGAGACCTGGCAGGATGCTCTGGACTCCCTAAGTGACCTCCCCATGGCCCCCAGGGCATGGCTCAGAGCCAGAACAGTGGTGGGAAGCAGGAACACCTCTCATAAAATGATGATATTCAGAATCCTTCAGACACGCCAACAAACACCCTGTCTCTTAGTCATCCAGGCCCACCCTCAGCCATCTCTGTTGACCATCTGTTCTCAGGACTGAGGTGGCAGGCAGAGAAGGAAACCAGACTCTTGTCAGCTGGTGAATCGGGCCAGGAGGTAGGACAGGGACTGGGAGGGACACTGGGCTTTGGCGCCCCTTGGCCTCTGCTCATCCTCCACCCAGTCATGGCCTCCTCAAGGCCTGTCCTCCCCCCTGGTTACCTGATGAGCAGCCTGTATCGCAGTGAAGAGCTTGTGCTCCAGAATCAGACACATCTGGTGAGAATCCCTGTCTTCCACCTCTGGTTTTCATGGCTTCAGCCACTGCAGTCTCCCTGAACTCAGTTCCCTCATCAGTACAGAAGAAACAGGGAAAGCACCCACCCCCTAGCGTTGTCAGATTAAACAAGAATGATGTGGACTAACACACTGAACCCAGTGCCTGGCCCCTGGGAAGCCTTCTGTGGAGGGGCCTTGTTTTCACAATTATTTGACCCTGAGTTGTGATGCCAGGCAGCTGAGCCACCCACTCAGCTGATCTACTGCTTCATGCCCCAGTACTTGCACCTGATACCCCATAGTCTTCTCAAGGAAGTAGATTGCTGGATGGTACTGAGTGAGCTTAAACAAACCCACAGAGTCTGTCCCTGAGCCCACAGAACATCCTTCGCCGGTCATTGCATTAGAGCCGGTGATTCGTGGACAGAGTGCTTTGGGGGACCTGTGGTTGATTTGTCGCCAGCCAGGAGATTGACACCTCATATCTCAGAAACAAAACAAAAACAGGATATGGTGAGAATGGTTAAGGCTAGAAAGCCACCTTGCTCATGGGTTGGCCTACAGAGTTGGCAGGTGCCCGGTGGCTTGTCAGCTGCATTAAACCTTTCTGTAGCCAATATTTAGGGGTGGAGTAGAGCCTTCACTGGGGTCGTAAGCCCCAGCTCTGCTGTGTGAGCTCTGGCAGGTGTTAATCTCTCTGAACTAGCTTCCTCACCTGAAAATGTGGACAGTAATGCCAGCCCTCCTTCAGAACAGCGTTGTGAGTTTACCATGGGCCACGAGGGACTAGGTACCTGGAAGGGGTGATGCCCTGAGATCCCCTTGCAGGGGAAGGCTGGAGTGACCGCCTGACCACTCCTGGGCCCGTGCCCTTTGCTCTGACTCCACCCCTCCAGTAGGGGTAGCTTCAGGCTTTTCTCACCTGTGGACTCATCCTTTCAATCCACAACACCCACTAAGAACACCTGGGCTTTAGGCTCCCCAGTGGCCCCTGATCCATGTCTCCCTGTGTTCATCACATCTTATATGACCCAGACCATCTGTGGCACCTGCTGTATCTCTGTTGGGAAGGAATGTGTTTTTCCTCTCAGACCATGCCCAAAGCAGTCTGGACCCAACTAGGGCCACAGCCGGCCTGGACTGTCCTCTCCCTGCCCCCAGACCTTTCCTGTCATGCACTGGTGTGTGTGAGCAGAGGGGAGAGTCAAGGGGAGGAGAAGAGCAGGTCTGAGGATGAGACCTGACTCTGCCCCGCACCTCACCTCAGTTTCATCATCTGTAAAATAGAGATTGTAAAAACAGTGTCTTCTGTTCCTTGGGGCTGATGATATGGATTGAATGAGGTCAAGACCACAAAAGCTGTCTGTAACCTGCAGAGTGCTGTACCAGTGTTCATTGCCAGCAATGGTGTGTATCCAGAGGAGGGTTTGGAAAAATGGTATCTGCACCTGAGTGTAGCAGTTAGGGGCCCAAGAAATGTGGGACCAATGAGCAACGGAGGAGGCAAGGGAATATTCTGCTGCTATGCTCTTCTTGGGAAAGAGCAGGCAGGGCTTTCCTAAGCCATGGAAGAGCCAGGGCAAAGCCTTTGACAGCCTGAAGAGAGGACATACAAAATAGGCCTGCAGTGGGGCATGCCCCAACAGACAACTTGCATCCCATTTGATTTCTTCAGCCAGGTAGGTACCTGGTGAGGGAAAACCTACTGGTCCCAGCAGCTGCCTCTCTGTTGCCGTGGCCAGATAGGCCCCAAGCTGGGCCCTCGGTGTGTACTGTCCTTTCCTCACAAGCACCGCGGGAGGGCAGCCGTCATTAGCCTGTGGTATGATGGTAAATGGGCGTCTTGGGGGGCTGAGTAATTTGCTCAGAGACACAGAGATGGAGCTGTTACTGACCTTTCCCACCACACCACAATGCTCAGCCACATGTGCAGATGCCGCAGGCCCTGTCTCCCCAACTCTTGGCTTCTTCCTTCCCTGGTTAGGGCCTCTGCCTCGTGGGCTAGGACACTGTCAGGGAAGCCAGGAACTGGTGGCCCTCCGTCAGAAGTGCTCAACATTAAGACGAATCCACAAAGGCGGGATGACAGAAGCCCCACCTCCAAAGCCAATTAAAAGAGGGTAAACGTCAGCCTTGCTACCAGGAAAAGGGCAGATTTTGTTGTTTGAGGAAGCTCTTGGTGGTTCATGTGGTTCGAGTGCAGTAAAGGAGCTCCTCTTGTGGGTGCTTTTAGGTGCATTTATGATGCAGTAGGTAGGATTGGGTGGGCTACAAGGCCCTCCCTGTGCTCAGCTGGACCAGGGTGCATGCAGTATGGCACAGACATCAGAAGGCATGAAGCCAATCCTCCCTCACCCCGCTGACCACAGGGAGTGAGATAGAGGCCTTCCATTTTGTGTCACTTGTCCTTACAAGTCATAATAAAAACCACTGCCATTTTTTGGAGCCCTTCTACCCCCAAATGCAAACTGTTTTGCATGTATTATCTCAAGTCATCTTCACACCAACCCTGAGAAGTGGTTGCTGTTAATGATCCGTATTTCACCAAAAAGAAAAGAAACAGAGGTGGTCAGAGACTAGACGACTTGCCCATGGTCTTACCAACTGGTCAGTGGCAGAGCTAGGGTTCAACTCAGGTCTGTCCGAGCCCCAGTAGCACACTGCTAAGCCAGTTCTGGCCCACCTCCTCGTGCACTCTATTTAAATGTTGTCAAGTGATTCTCCCTGTTTCACTGAATGATTTTGCAATGCATGAGCCCCAAAGATATCTTTAAGCCTGTTGAGCAGACTGCCAGGATCTAATAAAACGCATAAAAGTCTGATATTTAAAACTGTGCATACACTGTGACCACATTATAGGTCGAAAACAAATGCACTACACATTTTAGACAGGAGGTTGGAAGCCACAGTGAAGAAGCTGGGTTGTTATCACTGGTATATTCCATTTCCTTGATAGAGCAGTACCCTGAAAGGTTACAGTTTTAACTTATTTCCTGCGCTCTAAGCTCGGAACCATTTTGCATGTGTTCTGAGCATAACAAAATAGAATGCACCTAAGGATAAGAGTAGTTTGGAGACTTTAAAAGGGTTTTAGTTTCTCAGTCATGAAAATCATATGCTATTTAATGTATGTATATACACATGTGTGTTTGTGTGTGTGTGGCAAGCGTTGGATAATTGAGTTTTTAAATGAGCAAACCCACCAAAGAATCCCTTTCAGAAATGCTTAGATTCTTGACAGTTGTCAACTCTGCTTTGCACATTTTTCAAGCATTCCATGGACCACTGGCATTCTCAGTGAACTCTGATTTTTTTGGCTCATTCACACTCCCTGGTGCTAGTCCTTCCAGGAGTAAACAAAGAGAATATAAACATCTCCCTGTGTAAAAGTCAAACCTCTGATCATTAGCCATTAGAGAAACGCAAATCAGAACTACAACGAGATACCATCTCACCCCAACAAGGCTAGCATTAATCCAAAAAACACAAAATAATAAATGTTTGAGAGGTTGTGGAGAGACTGGAACACTTATACACTGTTGGTGGGAATGTAAAATGGTACAACCACTTTGGAAATAGATTTGGCGCTTCCTTAAAAAGCTAGAAATAGAAGTACTATACGATCCAGCAATCTCACTCCTCGGAATATATCCTAGAAAAATAAGAGCCATCACATGAATAGATATATGCACACCCATGATCATTGCAGCATTGTTCACAATAGCAAAAGATGGAAACAACCTAGGTGCCCATCAGTGGATGAATGGATAAACAAATTATGGTATATTCACACAATGGAATACTACACAACAATAAAGGACAACCATGAATCTGTGAAATATAACATGGATGAGTCTGGAAGGTTTTATGCTGAGTGAACTTAGTTGCAAAAGGACAAATATTGTATAAGACCACTATTATAAAAACCCAAGAAAAGGTTTAAACACAGAAGACAACATTCTTTGATGGTTATGAGGGTGAAGAGGGAGAGGAGAGGGGTATTCACTAACTAGAAAGTAGATAAGAATTATCTTAGGTGAAGGGAAGAACAGCACACACTACAGGGGAAGTCAGCACAACGGGACTAAGAAAGCTAAGAAATTTCCTGAATACAACCAAACATGTCAAGGGACAGAGTAGCAGGGGTGGGGGTCTGGGGACCATGCTTTCAGCGGACATCTCTGTCAATTGACATAACAAAGTTTAAGAAAATGTTCTGCATCCCACTTTGGTGAGTGGCATCTGGGTCTTAAAAGCTAGCAAGCAGCCATCTAAGATGCGTCAATTGTTCCCAACCCACCTGGAGTAAAGGAGAATGAAGAACACTATGGACACGAGGAACGTATTAGTTCAAGAGACAGAAAGGGACACATAAACCAGAGACTTCATCAGCCTGAGACCAGAAGAACTAGATGGGGCCCGGCTACCACAATGACCGCCCTGACAGGGAACACAACATAGAGTCCCTGACGGAGCAGGAGAAAAGTGGGGTGCAGATCTCAAATTCTAGTAAAAAGACCAGAGTTAATGGTTTGATTGAGACTGGAGGGACCCTGGAAGACATGGCCCCCGAGCTTTCTGTTAGCCCAAAACTAAAACCATTCCCAAGGCCAACTATTCAGACAAAGATTAGACTGGACTGTGGGACATAAAATGATACTCGTGAAAGAGTGTGCTTCTTAGCTCAAGTAGATACATGAGATTAAATGAGCAGCTCTCGTCCAGAGATGAGAGGAGAAGGCAGAGAGGGTCAGGAGCTAGTTGAATGGACACGGGAAATCTGGGGTGGAAAGGAAGAGTGTGCTGTCACAGCATAGGGAGAGCAAGTAGGGTCACATAACAATTTATGTATAGATTTTTGTATGAGAGACTAACTTGAATTTTAAATTTTCACTGAAAGCACAACAATAAAAAGAAGAAAAAAAACGTCAAACCTCACAGTGAGACAAGACCTGATCTCATTTCTATTAAGTGCCTGCTGACTGAGGTCAGAGCTGTATGGGCCAGTGCTTATTTTCATGGCTGCTCAAATCTCTGCTTGCTCAGTACAAAAGAATCTGAACTTGGGAGCCCAGAATGCCACCCTCCATCAACAGCTTTTTTAACTGTGCTCCCCTCTTCAACCTTCAGTTCCAGTCCCAGTGAAGGAGAACCTGAGACCTTAAGAGTCACATGTTCATTCCCTTGGTGTCGGCATCTGTGGGGATGAAGGAAGGAAAGCCCTTATAAGCTTTAGGCCTGGGTGTTCAAGAAGAGAACAGAATATGCTCATGCCTTAAAAGAAGCATTCCAAACAAGCTGCAGTGTTGGATTACTTCTCCATGAGAATGCACAGCTATAAACAAAACCTTCTTCATCTCATGCTGCCATTTTCTTTGTAAATTGCTGAGCATCTTCTCCAGGCCTTGGCATGGCCTACATTTGGAACATGCTGGTGGCCTCCACATTGTGGAAGACAGAAGAAATCTTGGAGGTGTCCTCAGAAGACTTCCATTGACTTGAGATGCCCAGGTAAGGGAGGCAGCCAATGTCCTTCATAAGTTTCCAGAAGTTCTTCCGAAACTTCAGGCCAACAAAGACATAGAGCACAGGATTAAGGCAGGCCCGCAGGTAGGCAATGGCCTCTGTCACTATGATGGCATAATGAAAGCTGGTCATGGCATGGTACTCCCAGCTTGTGCTGCGGATAAGCTTCATGAGGTTAAAGGGTGTCTGGGTCAGCAGGAACACAGCCACCACCAGGAAGATGATCTTTAGAGACTTGTGCTTCTGGAAGCCACGGGCGTGAAGCAGGGTCTTGATTATGACCGAGTAGCAGACAATCATGGTAATCAGCGGCAGGAAGAACCCCAGTGTCATCTGAGTAGCAAGGACCACAGTGGAAATTTTATCATCTTTGTAATCACAGATGACCTTGTCACGAGGAGAGACATTTCCATAGATGATCTGTGGCAAAGAAACCAGCAGGGAGATCACCCAGGTGAACAGGCAGATGACCTTGCCCCAGATCATCCGCTTGGCCTGCAGGTTGTGGGCTTTGGTGGCTTGAACCACTGCAGTGAAGCGGTACACTGTGATGCAGGTAAGGGTGAGCATGGATGTGTAGAAGTTCAAAGTGTAGGTGCCCAGCAGGATTTTGCACATAGATGTGCCAAAGACCCACTCGTGAATGCTTGCATAGGTCCAGAAGGGCAGAGTACAGACAAACACCAGGTCAGCCAGGGGCAGGTTCATCAGGAACATGTTTGTCATGCTCTTCTCCTTCTGGTAGAAGATGTGTATGACCAGCACCAGAGAGTTCCCCACCAGGCCACATACGAACACCACCATGTACATGCAGGGCAGAAAGAACTTGCTGAACTGCAGGAAGTGATTATGCTCCTGTCTGCTGTCCTTGGAAGTGTTAAAAAACCAAGGATCTTTGTAGTCATCCTCTTCCATGGTGTCTGTTCTGATGAACACCTGTAAGTCAAAATGCAGGAATTTTATTTGGGACACTTCTGGTCTTCCCACTGTCCCACTGACCACATTTAGGTGGTGGGCCTCTCCTAAACCCACCCACTGTTGTGCTCAGTAAAAACCCAGCCCAGACCATCAGTACACTGGAGATAGAGGAAATTAGACAGGACAAGGGATTCTTCATTAGCCCTAAGATTCTCAGCACCACCAATCTGGGAGATGGCACGTAACGACCCACACACACTCCATAAAACCCCATGCCAAATTGTTAAGAAAGTAAAGACCACCATCCAGTTAAATAGGCACCGGTTCCTTTTGGAAGAGTAGCACCACCTTTTAATGGGGAGGGCCTGTCTTCATCTACCCACACACCATAGCAGTTGCCCACCCATCCTGTCCCCGTTTCCTGTAAAATTAGCCCATGAACTGCTAATAGTGAAAGCAAGCACCCCTCCTAGGGGGCTCTACTGTCAAGGAGACTCCTGGAGACTGAGACGTGTTTGGGGAATGACCAGGCTTCTCTACTTGAGTGGGGCGGTCCATCTTGCCTATTCTTCCCCTCTGTTGCATAGATTAGAAAAGGCAACTGATATAGGCAACTTGTATAGATTAAACAAGGCAGAGAAAAACCCATGGCTGCTTGGCACTGTGGCTGGAAAGTGGGCAGTTCTCCTCAAACCCCAGCCTAAAATTTCCCCTCTGTCATCTGTTACAATTTATAACCTTCTGCCGTCAGAGCCTCTTTCCAGAAACTTCTTGATCTTCAGGAGTCTCTTAAAAGGTAGATTTCCTCAGAAGGAGGGACGCTGTTTTAACTTTTATGATTCGCTCTGTAGGGGTCTGCTTTAACAGTTGGAAGACCCAATTGAAATGGAGTGCCAGATAGGTGGGCTACTTCAGTGAGGCGGGTGGCCAGCCTTGCACTGAGACTGGAAATAGCTGCCTTTCTTGCCTGGGACTCTGGGCCCTTCAAGTTTGTTGCTTCCTGTGACCCTTCTCTCTCCCCTGTGACCCTGCTGAGGGCCACAGACAGGACATAAGGGTGATGTAACCTGTGGCGTGGGAGCAGGGGCAGCACAGCAACATTGCTCTTGGAGTGCCAGGCCAGTCCTCGCCTCCTCCCTGCAGATACTCAACATGCAATTGCCCCTTTCCAGGGACCCTCAGCCATGCCCCCCAGCACCTCAAGAAGATGTTCTCAGAAGAGCAGACGTTTGGACAGAGAACCTGCAAGACTTAGAAAAGCCAAAATATTGACTGGCCAGATAACTGTCTGTAAAAGGTGAAATCATCCCCCCTTTCTGATCCACTCAGGTACTTTTCTTTTCCTGACCTCGAGTCCTAACTGGAAGCAGTGTCAGCCCTGGTGCGGGCAAAACGCCTTTCCTCTGTAGCAAGGAAAGACCTTGCCTTTGAGATAAGGCCAGGATGGTGACAACTCGGTCAGTAGTTCCTGCCTCTCAGCCACGAAGTGTTAGATCTCTGTTATACTCAGCCAGTAGGCATGGTGCCCCAGCTGGCTTCCTGGGATGCTAGATTAAGTAGGTCGATGGTGCTATGTATGTGTATTGCTTTACACAGGGACAAAAACACTTTTTCCATCATTTAGAACATGAAACAAGAGCTTGCTTTTGTTAAGAGTAATGTCCAGCTCTCCATTACTGCTCGACTTACTCTGGCTTTTTTTTTTTTAAACCCTATTCTGGCTGTTGCTGGATCTTTATACATAGTAGCATTATACATTTCCTCAAAGGATGCATGCAAATTCATTTGTAATAATTGGTAAAATTTAATATTAACAGCAGATTGGGACTAGACAGTTCTGTGCAGAGTATTAAAAATTACTTTCCCTTCTAGAAAATGTTACAACCGTTTTTTTAATCTTCTGTAACCAAAGTCCTATGCAACATAATTGATTTATGGGGAAAAAAGGTAATATATATAACTTTGGAAATAGTCTAGATGTCTGATAATAAATGATGAAGCAAATTATAATTCACACATAAAATAGAACATGACTAGATATTTAGGAAGAGCTTTTAATGATTTGGGAAAACTATTTAAATTTATATGTAAATTTAAATTAATAACATTTAAATTGCTCAGAACAGTGCAAGCACAAAGTAAATATGCAAAATAAGTATTAGCTATTACTATTACAATGATAGATGACAAAAAGGATATAAAACTGATTATGGTTCTTAACTTTTTTATCATAAACCCCTTAGAGAATCTCATAAAACCTGTGGTCCTTTCCTTCGGAAATAATGTACACACACACACACGCACGTACACACAAACACCTGCAATTTGGGGGCGTTCATGAACCCCTTGAATCATGCCATGTGTTCTGTAGATGCTTGTTTAAAAATCCCTAATAAGCTGTGTGATTTTGACTATGCTTTTAAAAACTTAGAAAAAATGACCAAATTTTATCAGCAGTGTATCTCTTGACCGGTGGACTTATGGGTCACTTCCCCCCTCCTCCTTTATATTTTATATAAACCCATTGCCATCGAGTCGATTCCGACTCCTAGCAACCCTATAGGACAGAGTAGAACTGCCTCGTAGAGTTTCCAAGGGGTGCCTGGTGGATTCGAACTGCCGACCTTTTGGTTAGCAGCCATAGCTCTTAACCACTGTGCCACCAGGGTTTATTAGTTTCCAAATTTTCTACAGTGGTCTATTATACTCAGAAAAGAAAGCAGACAATCACCTGAGAGAATAGATTGTCTGAAAGGAAAACAGATTATTCCATGAACAAGTACAGGCGGTGGCTGGACTCTCCTCACCTCGCGGGGTGGGTCTGATTGTGCCCTTACTAGTAGTCCCATCAGCTTACAAGCACTGACTGTGTGCCAGCACTGTGTTAAGTAGTTTTCATATTTCTCTAATTTAACCCTCATAGCACCAAGTGGCAGAGACTGGATTTGAACTAAGAGCAATTCAGCTTTAAAGCCCGGACATTTTACCGCTAGGCTATGCTGCAGGCAGGAATTTGAGAACCCCAGAAGGGATGACTTCTCCCCTTTCTTCTGAGTATGAAGAGGAAGACAGATGACTCACCAGTAGAGATGCTCCAGAGACGAGCTTGCTCACGACAGCAGCCTGCCTCTACCTTTCTGTGATGTGGCCCCTGTTTCCGCTGAATGTTTTAAGAGCCTTTCGTTGGTTATTATAAGAGACCCACCCCTAGCCACCCCTCCTGCAGATCAGAATCTACATGACCAGACTTCACTCATGTAGTTTGGGAGTCAAGGATACGAAGCAATGGCGCTGACACCCCACCTAACGCCTGCATTCTGGCTTGGGGCTTCTTCATTCTGGATCTGAGAGGGGTTTTATTTGTAAACCAAAGAGGAGCAATAAGTAGGTCTGGCTCTGGCGGTACCCTGAAGACGGTGGTGTGACGTTGATGTTAGGTGCCATCAAGTCTATTTCGACTCATAGTGACCCTATACAACAGAGTAGAACTGTCCCATAGGGTTTCCTAGTCTGTAGTCTTTACAGGAGCAGATTGCCAGGTGTTTTCTCTCACAGAGCCACTGGATGGGTTCGAACCGCTGACCTTTTGGTTAGCAGCCGAGCACTTCACCATTGTGTCACTAGGCCTTCTTGATGGTGGTGTGTGTACCTTAAAAGTAATTCATTTGCTAGGTCTCTTTGGAACAGTTTGAGTCTGGGCCAGTGCAGAGGCAGGGGGATGAGAGCAAATGTTTATTGAGTCCGTGCTATGCTTGTTCTGTGCGTGCATGCAGCTCTGCATACCTGATTGTGTTGATCCTCATAGCAGCCCTGCAAATCATTCATTATCCCCATTTTATACATGAGAACTCAGACGACCATAGACTAAGTGACAGCCCCATGTTCACATGACTGGTAACTGACAATTCCAGGATACAAACCCAGGCCTCTGTCATTGCCAGACGAATGGGCCGGTTGGTTTCTAGTGATGGCTCTGCCAGAGGGCGGGGTGCAGCCTTGCCTCCTAAACCCACTCCACTCAGTGCCCTCGACCAGCAGTGCTCACCCATCCTCTTTATCCTGGCTGCAATCACCTAGTTCCCTGTGGCTGCCCTGTCTACACCTGGCACTCCCCAGGTGTTGAACACCTTGGCCTTGATCTCAGTACTGTTCTAGTTGCTGGTCACCATGATCCAGATTGCTGACACTTCTGAGAAATAACACCCGAAGGGCAGGAATTGGAGGAATGTCTGCCTGGGCCACGTTCCCCAGTATCTCCCATGTATGCAGAGGGCATTCAGTAGAGGAGTGGACTCCATCTCTTCTTTCCCACAGTAGCAACTCTCCTGCCCCCCTTCTTTGACCCTGCACCCCCACCCAGCCTGCCTCCCACCCGAGGCTGGTGCTCTCTGCCCCACCTGCTATGCAAACTCTGTGAGTGACTCTTCCTAAGGGTAGGGTGTCAGGCATTAGGGACTGTCCTCATGGGATCTGGGGCCTCACACCCGGAGTTCTGCCATGAGCCAGGCCTGTGCTGATGCTTCCCTTGTACAGTCGTTGAATCCTGGCCGTTTACTGATGAGTGAGCAGAAGATAGATGAGAGAGGTTAGCTCGCTTGTCCCCAGGAGTCACCCAAGGCCTGTGTGACTTCACAGCCAGTGCTCCTTGCACTACTCTTTCTGTGTATGGAGCCATCCCAGGGGGTCTGCTCAAAGAGCTGAAGGCCTCTAGTGGGCTTTCAAGTTTTTGTTTTTATTTTTTTTTAAATGAACTAGTTCAAACTGCCCTTTCACCCAAACTGGTGCAAACAGGTGGGGTGTTCCCTGAGGACAGGAATTATGTGACTGCATAGAATAGGTACCTCTGGACAGATGGGCGGAGGGAGGAGCTGATGGGCAAATGGACAAATGAACAAGCTGAACCAAATACTGAAGGGGAGATGGGTCAAAGCATCCGTCTTTCAAAGAGATGTTTTGGGGCAGGACAACCCTTTAGAGTGAGGCAGACTGACATTTTTCGGGTCTTTAAGCTTTGAGAAATGAGTTGTTCACAGAGAGAAGCCAAGCATGTCATTCAGACAGTTCATGGGGCAGTGTTAGAACCATCTAAGCCTTCTTTGCTTAGTACATTCGGTCTTACTCTTCTCTCTTAGCCAATCACTTGTACTCCATGAGGGAAAATGGAGGCCTTGGCCTGGTGCCCTCCTTGACTGTATAGGTGCAGCCACCTATATCAGGATGTGTGTGTGTGTGCGTGTCAGTGTGGAAATATGTGTACCTGAGAGAGGATGACTGCTTTTCTCATGACCAGTGAAAAGGTCTGTGTAGTACTGAAGACTTGCAACTAAATTTGAGGAACTAAGCCACTCACAATTTTGGAACCAGAATTTTACTTCAACCACTTTATAAAGTTCCTTTATTATCTCCGTATTTGTAGTGTTAGTCATTTCAAGACCATTGTTATTCTTTGAAACAAAACTAAACTTCTTAAGGACAAATACCTAGTCACGCATGTCTTGAATTTCCGCTGGAACACGTACCAAACATTTTCTAAATAGAAGTAGAGGAACAACGGAGGGGAAAGAGCAGATGTTCCTGCCACAGGCTTATCTAGGAAGTCAGACTGTGCTGACGTGCTCACCTTCCCCAAGGACTGGTATTCCAGTGCCAGAACCATAAGGATGTGAGTCCCAGGACCCAGGGAGGAGGCGTTTACAGTTGTCAGGAGGAGAAGAATCCGACAGCAAGGCATTGGAGGATGACAGGGAGTGTGAAGGATGAGTTAGTAACTGAAGGTCTGTAGAAAAGTAGCCTAACCAAATAGCAGGTGAGGTGAACAAGGCTTGCTCAGTGGTGCCCTAGGTGTTAGACACGAGGATAGGCACACGGATGCCTGTGTTATGGTTAGACTGTTGTTGCTCATTGCTGCCGAGTCAATTCCAGATCATGGTGACCACATGTGTGCAGAGTAGAACTGCTCCGTAGGGTTTTTAAGGCTGTGACCTTTCAGAAGCAGATTGCCAGGCCTGTCTCCCGAGGCGACTCTGGGTGGGTTCAAACCTCCAACCTTTTGGCTAGTAGTCGAGCACTTAACTATTTGTGCTACCCAGGGACTCTGATCAGACATTGGTCACCAAGTAATCCAACATCAAAATCCCAGAAATGCTCTTGTTCACTTGGTTTGTAGGCAAAAAGGAAAACAATTACTAAAAGGAAAACTACTATCAGTTTACTTTTTAACAGCAAAATAAAAGATGCCCCCAGATCCCAGAGTGAATGCAGTCTACAGCGTGGTTCAGCCCAGCCTTCTACAGCACACTGTTCAACAGAGCTTTCATGATGATGGATGCCCCCGGCCCTGTGCCATCCAGCGCAGTAGCCCCTAGCCTCAGCTGGTTATTGAGCACTGGAAGTGTGGCTAATGCCACCAAGGAGCCAGATTTTTAGTGTTATTTAATTCTGACTCATTTAAATAGCCACATGTGGCTATTAGACAGTGCAGTTCTAAACAGAAGACCTCTCCAATCTGAAGGCTTTCGTAGACTGAGGCACTGGAGGGCCCCATGTCATCAGGCAAAGCAACACACCACTGTGCTGTGCTTAGCGAGATAGAGGAGTAGAGACAGCTGCCTGAGGAAGATTGTCAGCAAGCCATCTTCAGCCAAAAGGCCTTTGGGTACCCATTCCCTCCTCAGCCAGGAAATCTAAACCGACAGAGGATCTGCTCCCCAGGCAGTCTGCGGGATTGAGGCTGTACGGTAATTAAGTGAAAGAGAGTCCGAGGCACTTTGATCTGTGAGAGGAAAGTATTGTAGGTTCCAGCCGGAGGGTCCCCACCCGTGACCCCTCGCCCATTGAGGCGTGGACCCCTGGACTGCTTGGCCAGGGACTTCCTCAGCGTCCGCCTTGTTTGTGGTCACCACTTTATTCTTCCTCAGTTCTAAAGTGGATGTCTTGGTTATGTCGTCCTCTGGGGGCATTTGGGACAGAAAAAACCTTACCCTGAGACTGATAATTAGACATTTATTGAGCATGGGCTGTGTGCATGGTGGGGTACCTGAGGATGACCACCCCTAGAGGGATGAGCAAGTTGACGGACTGGTGTGCATGCCTCAAGAGAGGTTTAGCTTGACTGACCAGAGGCTCAGGGAGGAAACTCAGCCGGAAGGGGTGACGGGCCAACAGCTATACGAGGCCACCACAGCTAGCAGTAGACTCACACAGCCAGAGCGAGGGAAAGAGGAAGGTCACCTGTAGGCAGTGAGTTTGTCTCGCATCTTTGCTGAGAGAAATACCTCAACAGCAATTAAAAGAAATGGCTCTAGTAGGAGATGGAGTCCCTGGGTGGTGCAAATGGTTTACATGCATGGCTGCTAACAGAAAGAACAGAGGTTCGAGTCCACTCAGTGGCATCTCAGAAAAAAGACCTAATGATCTATTTCCTAAAAATAAGCCATTGAAAACCCTAGGGAGCACAGTTCTACTCTGACACCCATGGGGTCGCCATGAGTCAAAATTCACTCTAGCACAACTGGTTTTTTGTTTGTGTTTTTTGTAGTAGGAGATAGGGTGCCCTCTAGTGGCCTTGCTTTTGTTCCCTGTCATTCTCAAACTTTGACATTCTCTAACTGTGAGTTGGAATCGACTCAATGGCAATGAGTTTGGTTTGGTTTTTGGTTTAACAGAGTTGCTCGCGCTTTCTTTTTTTTACTGGATTCCATGGTAAAAAATACATTCTACATGACTACCCAATTGTGTATGTGTATATACACTGATAGAGTCAAAACAAGTGCCTCATAAAATATTTATCCTCACGATACGCACTGTTCTGTTTCATTGATATTTTCTAGTTTATTCTTTCTTTTAATGCTGGTCAGAACCTACTAAATTGATTTTACGACCCACTAAATGGGCCATGACCCACAATTTGAAAAGTTTTTGAAAAGCGGACTTCATGCCCCTAACCATTACCTTCAAGATATCGTCACCGACCCATCCACACCCCCATCTCCACACCCCTGTCTCCTTCCTCCACTTCCTGCCCCTCTCAGCTACCTCCCGAAGGGCCTCAGCCAAGATCCGCAAGGGTCTGGGGGGTCTACTCTGTGAAGTCTCTACTTGCAGGTGATCGGGCTGTATGCATCGCAGTGGTTAGGAGAGGAGGGAGAGAGAGGAAGAGAGGGATCATGCCATATTTTACCATAAATTCAGGAAAATCGAGAAAACCAACTATAGTTTTCAGGACTTCCTTTATCATATGGTATTTATTTATCTCATTTATGGTATTTGTATTTTGGACAAGTGTCTTAGTGACCTAGTGCTGCTGTAACAAAAAATACCACAAGTGGGATTCTTTAAAGATCAGAAGTTTATTTTCTCACAGTTCTGGAGGCTGAGTCCAAATCGGCTTTGTCAACTCCTCTGTGAACCTCTCTCCTAGCTTCTGGTGTCTGAGATGTTCCTTGGTGTTCCTTGGCATTCCTTGGCGTCTGTCTTCCCCTGGGATGCGTCTCTGTGTCTCTTCTGCACTTTTTATAACTCAGAAGTGATTAGATTTAGGACCCACCCTACGCTGGTGTGGCCTTATTAACATAACAAAAGAAAACCCCTATTTCCAAAGAAGATCACATGCACAGTTACAAGGCCCAGGAATACAACATGTATGGGTAGAGGAAGGACACAATTCAACCCATCGAGGATGAAAGAAAGTGAAATGAGGCAGGCCTAAGTGACCCTGGACATGTCTTCTCTCCCCTAGACCTCTCTGCCTCCCTGTCTGTCAAGTGGGCTCTTGGACCAAGTGGTCTCTGCAGCTGTTCACACTGGCCTTCTGTGACCCTGTGTGTCCAAGGGGAGGGGTAGGAGCTCTGGAAGCCAGTGGTTGGAAGTACAGTAGGAAGGAGGTGTTGGGCTAAGAGGAGGTGGGAAGTAAGGCTGGGGTGGGGGAAGGACTGGAGCTGGGAAGAAAAGGAAGCAGCGAAGTGACAAAGCCTGCCCTTCAGGGCAGCCAGCACTGTAGGAAATGTTGTCACTGCACCTTCCCTAGAGAGACAGTAGCTGCGGAGCACGAGCCCACCTGGTTCCCAGACACTGGGCTCGTTGAAATGAGGTTTCTGAGGGCTTAGAAACTGCAGCCTCGTCAAGCCAGCAGAACCTTAGAGTCCATCTCATTCTGTCTTCTTCCATTTAGAGCAGAGAAAACTCAGGTCTCGGTCGAGGACAGGGTTTCACTCAGAGTCACATGGTAATAAAGCCAAGGCTGGGCCCACGATGGTGTGACCCCACCGTGGGCTAGACCACAAAGTACCATAACAGAAATGTATTCTTTCACAGCACTGGAAGCCAAAAGTCTAAAATCAAGGTGTCGACAGGGCCATGCTCCCTCTTGCAGCTTCTGGTAGTGGTTGGCAAACTTTGGTGTCCTTGGCTTGCAGCTGCATGGCTTCTGTGGAACACAGTTCTACTCTGGCACACATGGGGCCGCCATGAGTCAGAATCCACTCTGTGGCAACTGGTTTTCTTTTGTTTTTGTTTTTTGGTGGTTTTTGTTTGTTTGTTTGCTTGCTTGCTTTTTCAATAGTAGGAGATAGGATGCCCTCTAGTGGCCTCGCTTTTGTTCCCTGCCATTCTCAAACTTTGACATCCTTTTTTGCCTGTCTTCACACGGCCACCTTCCTTCTGTGTGTGTCTGTGTGTCGTCTCTTCTTACAAAGACACCAGTCATGTTAGACTTAGGGCCCACCCTACTCCAGTAGGAGCCCTAGTGGCACGGTGGTTAAGAGCTCAGCTACTAACCAGAAGGTCAGCAGTTCAAATCCACCAGCCGCTCCTTGGAAACTCTATGGGGCAGTTCTCCTCTGTCCTATGGGGTCACTATGAGTCTGAATCTACTTGACAGCAACGGCTTTGGTTTTTTTGTTTGGCTACTCCGGTATGACCTCATCTTAACTAATTACATCTACAAAGACCCTGTTTCCAAATATGGTCACTTCCTGAGGTTCTGGGTAGACATGAATTTTGGCAGAGATACTATTTTACCCAGTACAACTGCCTCTCCTGCCATCTGGGAACTCAGTTACCTCCAGCTAGAGGAAGGCCCACTGCTCGGGGCTCATGGATCTCAGCCCCTGGACAGGCAGGCTGTTTCTGAAGACAGACTCTCCCACATGTCAGGGACTGACTTGGACTGTATGCAGACATCTCTGGCTGGGACCTGGATAGTAGTGAGTTGCTGGTTATTTAAGCGGCCCTGCAGAGACTCCAAACACCACCCCTCACCACCACCCCATCAGCAGCAGAGCCGTGACAGCAGACTCCCAAACCCAAAGGCCCTCCAGCATACTAGCAGTAGAAAGGAGTGAGGCTGGGGAAATGGGAGATATACAGCAAGAAGAACAGCTGCTGGGCCTGGTGGTGAGCGGGCCTGACCTGGCCAGGGCGTGATGTCCACGTCTGCAGGAACGAAGCCAACTCTTGAGCTCATAGGCTTCCCAGGAGGACAGAAGCCTCTTCCTGTGCAATGCTGGTCCTCCTCCTCCAGCACAGAGAGGCTCGGTGGGTTGGCAGCAAATGCCTGCTTTTTGCATCTGTGAGACAAGCCCGTTAGAGGTAAAAATGGCTGCAGTTGTCTTCCGGTGTGGATCTGCTAACCCAGTGTCTGCCGCTCCCCATGTGACTTGGTGTCTTTCTCCTTCAGGAATTTGTCCTTGAGTCTTTTGTTGACCTTAGCCAGTATTCTTTCTGCCCTTTATCGTGAACTTACATGCTAACCGTTTACACCTCCACACACACTTCTTAGCGAGTAGTCTTAGATCTCTTACACCAAAAACCAAATCAAACCTGTTGCCATCGAGTCGTTTCCAACTCACAGCAGCCCTATAGGACAGAGTAGAACTGCCCCATAGGATTTCCAAGGAGCGGCTGGTGGATTCTAATTGCCAACCTTTTGGTTAGCAGCCGAGATCTTAATCACTGCGCCACCAGGGCCTGGGTTTCTGCAAATGACAGATGCCGAACTGCTGAATGCTGGTCCTATCTGGCAGGGAAAGCTCACAGTCTGGGGGACCCAAGAGCAAATAACTAAGGCCCAGCGTGGCCAGAGGTGTGACATAGGTGTGCACTGGGTGATGGGGAAGCATATAGGGGTGGGGAGACAGAGGGTGGGGGTGTGTGGCGTATGCCGCCATGTCTGAGGTCCTGGCGCGAAGCTGCCTGTGGCCTCCCCGGGACCTCCTGTTGTGGTGCTGTCACTGCAGATATGCCACACGGTGCACAGATGTTCCTGCCCCAACAGTTGAGTGACAGCCAAGCACAGATCTGGATAGGACTCACTGAATTTGGCCACTCTGAGCCTCACCTTCTGGCATCCACGTGGAAAGCTGGGTGCTCTGGCTGTCTTCCCAGAGCTGACCAAGTGGGGGCGGAGAGGGTTTGTGCCCATTGAATGTGGCCTGTGCAGCGCCTAACCCAGTGCAGGTATGCGCTGTCATCTCAGGAAACACCCGACAGCAGACGAGGCGGGGGCAGGGCAGGACTGAGTTCATGCAGGTTCTGAGGGTGCTCAGGGTGCTGCGTGGGGGCCCAGAGACATTTGGGGAGAGCCCCCCAGGGATGTTGAGAAGGGGGTTATTACAACATTTTGGGAAGAAGCCTTGCTGTGTGGAAAGCTTCCTCATTAACACTTTCACATGGGGTGAATCATATTTCTTTTCTGGGTGTAGCTTCCTCTTCAGAATTGGGGAGTGGAGTTGGTTGGCCTTTGAGGTCCCTAAGATTGTATAGGCCACTGGCCGAGCTGGGCATGGGGCCCCCGAAGGACGAGCACTGAGCTGCAGTCAGCGTATCCGACTATCATTTTTATGATAGCCTCTCTGTAACTGCCTGGGCAAACGTTTTCCCATCAGGGAAGTGAGGGAGCTACAATGTGCCCATATTTCCCATGGGGTGTTCTGAGGATCACTAGTTCGGTAGGTGTTAAAAATATCCCATGGTCAAATAAATATAGGAACACTAGAGGTAAACAAAGTATAATAGACATCCTCAATGGTTAAGAGCTCAGCTGCTAACCAAAAGGTTGTCAGTTCAAATCCCCCAGCCGCTCCTTGGAAACCCTGTAAGGCAGTTCTCCTCTGTCCTATAGGGGTGCTATGAGTCAGATTCGATCCGATGGCCATGGGTTTGGTTTGGGTTTGCCGCAGGGCGTCTCAGAGCCTTTGATTTAATGTGTATGTACACTGTGACTTTCTAATAGGGAGAAACAGTATGTGATGTTACCCTCTCTGGGCACTGGTGTTTTAAAGAGCATACTCCGGGAGCCATAGCTCGGCACACGGCCACGGTAGCTCCCGTTGCTGGTTCTCTGCACAGCCAAGAGAGCAGACTGTGAGGGAAAGAGATGTGTCTTAGATCCACCCCTCTTAGTACGTGGCTCTGTCCATCCCCTCTCTCTTGGCCCACACCGTTTCCTGCCCTGTCAGCTCTAGGCACCTGCTCTTGTACCTGGAGATGGTCCAGAGCAGGCTTCTTCAGTCACGGACTGGAGCTCAGAAGGCAGGAATCAGTGGTGCCGGTAGCTTGCTTACCCCCGTGGCTGTAGCTCTGCTGATGAGGCATAGGAGGGAGTCAGTTTGTGTTCATGGTCACCATCTACCCACCCACCTACCGGGAAGACTTGAGGGAGATCACTGCAGCCCTGTTGTCTTCAGTCTGCTTGCTTGGCCCTGGCCCCTGTGGCCCTCCACCCACGGAGGCTGCCGCAGCCTCTGTCACAGCCTTTATGATTGAAGGACTCCCCAGGCATTCTTAGGTCAGCTGCAAGACCTCGAAGCTTGGACCTCAGGATGTGGGGCCTTGTGTGCTGATGGCTAAATGGTTGTGTTCTTGTTTGTCTTTTCAGGGACAACACATCAAGCTCACTAACCCCAGAGGACACTGAAGACATCCCTGCGGGACAAGATACTGAGATCTGCTTGCTGAAGTCCGGAGAGCTGATGTGAGTGACAGGTTACTGAGTGGGACTTCCCAGGGTGTCGCGGTTAGGGGAAGGAGTACCAAATAGCAGTGGCCATTCCAGTGCCAGAGCTGGAGAGGACCCTGGAGGCTGTCCCTTGGCACCAATGCTGGCTTTCCCGGTGTTCTTTTTTTAAGCTATAATTTATATACAGTAGAATTTACCTTTTGTAGTGCACAGTGCTTGAATTTTGACAGACAGTATGCTCACCACCACAAATAAGAGATAGAACAGTTCCCCTACCCTGAAAAATCCACTCTGCCCCTTTATAGTCATCCCACCTTGTCCCTATAGTCTTCTTTTTTGAAAGTAGCTTTGTTTTATTTTCTTATTGTAAGAGCAATACATTTTCATTGTAGAAAATTGGGGATAAGTAAACCACTTTGGTATATAGCCTTACAGTCTTTTTATGCATATATATATAATTTTTCAACATAAACAAATATTCTGTCTTATTTTATAATATTTTAAAACTTAATATAGCATGAGTATTTTTCCATAACTGACCATTTTTCTCCAGTGTTGTGTCCAATGGCTGCATAATAGTCATTGAATAGATTCATTTATTCATTCACAGATATTTATCCAGTACCTACCATGTGCTTATATTCCAACAGGGGTTGACAGACAATAAAAATAAGTGTAAGTAAGTAAGTAAATTATATAGTGTGTTACAAGGTGGTGTCTGTTATGGAAAGGGTAGACAGAGAATAGGATGAGAAGAGGGCACCTGGAGTTGTAAATAGGATGACATGAAGAAGGTAAGAACTGGAGGAGGTAAAAGAGTTGTCATGTGGATATCTGAGGGAAGAGCAGAGGGAACAGCCAGTTAAAAGGCCCTGAGGCAGGTCCCTGAGGCTCTGTTCTTCTCTGGTTCTGTTCAGTCCATTTTCTGTTTTCATATTGCATAATTTCTGATCTATCTTCAGATTTACTGAGTCTTTCCTCTGACATATTCATTGTGCTATTGAGCCTATCCAGTGAGTTTTTTTGTTTGTTTTTCAGTTATTGTATATTTCAGTTCTATAATTTCCATTTGGTTCTCTTTTTTATGTCTTCTGTTTGCTTTGGTGTAATTTTTTATTTTTTAATTTCTTGCCAGAGTATTTGTGCTATTCATTGAAGCTGTCATTGTTATGGTAGCTTCTTTAAAAGCCTTGTCAGACCATTCCAACATCGGATTAATGTCAGTGTTGGCTTCTGATGATTCTCTTTTCTCATTCAAGTTGTGATTTGCCTGGTTCTTAGTATGACCAGTGATTTTCAGTTGTATCTTGGACATTTTAGATATTAGGAGTTGTTAGGAGGCGCTTGGTCCTATTTTAGCAGTCAGTCATACTGTTTTGGTTTAGTATATACGACTTGGCCTACTTTCATAGGCTGTGATTCCAAAGACAGTTTAGTTTTCAGAGCCCAGGCAGTGCTTTTCTGATCTGCTGCATTCACCAGGTGCCGCTGGAGCTTCCACTCAGTCCCTGCTTGTGCCACCCGCAGTGGTGGGATGCATTTCTCCAAGCCTGGAGCCAGTAGATAACGGGTGGGAGACACCAAGCCATTGTGTTTTTCCTCAAGTCCTGGGGTCCCAAGCCAGTCTGCCTTCCTTTTCCTACCCTTCAGAGTTATCCTGTGATTGTTTACTGAATAATTTCCAGCATTTTTTGTTGCACTCAGTGGGGAGTGGCGAGGAAGTGTTTGAAAAATATTTATTCGACAAATATTTATGGTAAAACTTCTTAGAAGCTTACCTTTAACTAAAGGATGAGAAAAATCAGAAGATTAAGAAATAATCAAGACACACAGAATCCATGGCAAATCCCTAAAGAGAAGAGTGTAAAATGAATAGAGAGAATAGGTCAGCTGGAGATGTGAGTCAAATGCATGAAGAATGACAATACATTGCACTTTTCCCTCCCCACCTCTGTCCAACGGATTGACAGCAAGGTTTTGGCAACCTCATTAAAAGGGTATCTGAAAGTGTGATAAAGGTTAGGGTTATTGCAGAACATGGAGAGTTTTTTTTGTACCCTTTGACTTGTGTAAACTAGAACTTCTGGAGGCACTCAGAATTCACATTTGTGATGGGAGTCCTGTAGACTGTAGATTTTTTATTTAAGATTATATTTGAGCATAGATGGCAAACCCTTGATTTGTTTTTTATTAGCGTCTTCTTTGAGGGGACTGAGTGTTGTCCTTCTCACTGAACAGACGATGCCTGTAAAAGGTAAAAGAGACTTAGGCAGCATCCAGGTACAGGGGAGAATTCTGGAGCAGGAAATTACGGAACGATCCAGCGTCAGTGGGGCATTCTGTCAGAGTAAGTGGCCGCCTGGTAATGTAGTAAGATTGCCACGTTACAGGAAGGACCTCTTTCCCACCCACCCACCCATTCACCTGCTCTCAGATTCTTAAAAATTATAAATATTGGCCAAGGCCTTTTGTGCCATAATTAGAAATAAAGCTTGAATTCACACATGGAGAAGTGCTATATTGAATTAAGTTCTCACAAAGGTGAATGTCTTATGTCAGAGCTATTCCTTGTTGTTTGTTTGTTTTTAAACCATTGATGAATCTTCTCATTAACACAGCTTTGGGGAGTTATTTCCATCCATCTCCATGGCTTTGGAGGCAGAGAACTCTCGGCACCACCACTTACTTGCTGTGCCGTCTTGGGCAAGTTACCTAACCTCTCTGAGCTTTAGTGTTCTCCCCTGTGTTAAAGGGCACAATCATATATTTTCTCCGTGAAGGGCAGCTTTGGTGTAGTAGAAAAGTAACGCCTTTGGATCAGACCTGTGTGAATGTGGATCAAGTTTCTTAATCTTCTTGAATCTTAGTTTCCGCATTTGTGAAATGGGAACAATTATGCCTTCCTCATATCGAACCAAACCAAACCCACTGCCATCGAGTGGATTCCAACTCATAGTGACTCTGTAGGACAGAGTAGAACTGCCCAATAGGGTTTCCAAGGCTGTAAATCTCTACGGAAGTCCCGTGGAGCAGCTGGTGGGTTCGAACTGCCGACCTGTCAGTTAGCAGACAAGTGCTTTAACCACTGCACCACCAGGGCTCCTTCTTCTTGTAGACATTGTGGTAACATGTGAAGTCATAGAGGAGAAGGCCTAGAGCCACCTTTCCATTTTACAGCTGAGAGAGGGAGGCTCAGAGAGAGTGAGTGACTCGCCCAAGGCCACACCACTGTCAGTGGCTGCTCTGCCTGGATGCTCTGTCCCCATGATCCTGAGCTAACCCGCTGCCTCTGGAGGTGCACAGTGCAGGATGGGGCTCCACTCAGCCTGGGGGGCCTTAGGGAGGCAGCATCAGGGGAGACATCCCCATTCACATCCAGTTCGTTTTCTCACATAATCCTCACACCAGTTGTGAGGCAGACATTGTTATCCCCATTTTGCAGATGAGGAAACTGAGGCTTATGAGAGATTGAGTCCTGCAGCAGATAAGAAGAGGGGCAGATACCGGAACGCAGGTGCCTCTGGTTCTGCACCCCACATTTTTCATATTACACTCTGTGGCTGATCCTGCAGAGGGCCCCAAAGGCAGGGGGACTCATTGTCACTGAACCTTTTAAACTTTCGGAAGAGGTTCTTATCCACCTGGCAAGAGTCTGAACCAGAGACACAGCCCTAACAAGCTTCTCTCCCCAAAACAGTAGTACCCCTCTGTTGCCCCTGCAGTATAAAAAATCTGGGAGTTTCGCACCTAAGAGAAGATCAGGATGCCAATTTGTAATCTTGCAATGGGCCCCAGATTTCCACTGAGATGGGGGACTGCTGAAAGGGTAGGAGGTTTCTAACGATGGACACACTTTCTGCTGGTGCTAGTTAGATGGAAAGAGGAGGCAGGGAATTGGAAAGAGAAAGGGGAAGTTGATGGCTGAGCAGCAGGGCAGCTGCGGGAGAACAACAGAAAGCTGAGGCCTCAGCCCTTGCTTCCTCTCTGTGAGGGGCATAGAGCAGAGGTGGGCGGGGCCGAGGGAGCACGTCAGGCTCTCCTCAGTTTCAATGGCTTTGCGGGTATCCCATCAGCCCCACAAAGACAAAGACTGTCATCTATATATTTTGTTCCTGTGTTGCCAGTGTCTAGACATAATTGACGCTCATAGTAGACAAGCCAGGAGTCCCTGGGTGGTGCAAACAGTCAACGTGCTCGGCTGCTAACGGCAAAGTTGAAGGTTCAAGTCCACCCAGAGGTGCTTCAGAAGAAAGTCCTGGTGATCTACTTCTGAAAAATCAGCCATTGGACACTCTGTGGAGCTCAGTTCTACTTGACGTGCGTGGGTCACCATGAGTCAGACTCAGCTCTGCAGCAGCTGGTCTGGTAGACAAACTCGCATGTAGTAGATTCTCGGTGAATATCTGCACATCGCGTTGTCTCCCATAATTAAGCATGTTGGTCACAGTTACCCAGGGTTTGCCCTCCCAGTGGCCTCCAGGATCTCTGGCCGTCTCTGAGCTCCAGACAGTAGGCACAGGCAGTTTGTCCATCTAATCAGGTCCCTGTCTACATTTTTATTTTAGGATAAAACTACCCCTCACAGTGGAAGAGATCGTCAACTTCGGGGAGGGCAACAGGGAGCTGTTTGTGAGGTCCAGTACCTACAGCCTCATCCCCATCACTGTGGCCGAGGCAGGCCTCACCATCAGCTGGGTCTTCTCCTCTGACCCCAAGAGTATTTCCTTCAGCGTGGTCTTCCGGGAGGCAGAGGACACACCGCTGGATCAGTGTAAGGTAAGGCCAGGCCCCCTGCCTGTGGGCCCCTTACCCAGCAGGTTGCTGTGCACACCTTTCCTAGAACTGGGGCCCTGGCTGTCCTGCCGTCTGCTGGGCAGGCCTTACCTGGAAAGTGATGGTCCATTCTAGGCTCTTGCAATGAACAGAAGCTTATTCAATGGAGAGAATCCACGGTGCGAAGGCCCTCTGAGCCATGTCATGCCGAGCAGGTAAAGCACCTGGGACTGCTCAACTTGGAGAAGGAAAGAGCTGGAGGCTCAGGAGAGCTGTATTCAAACATCTGAAGGTCTCTTCTGTGGCACACAGGTTCCGTCTGTCCTTGGGACAGATTAGTAGGTGAAACTTAGAGGAATCCAGCTGTATGACTCGGTTTAAAAATCATTTCTAACAGAGCTGTGCAAAGAAGGACTGGCTTACCTGGGGAGGTGATGACATCTCTGCCTCTGGTGGTGGTCAGACAGCATTAGCTTAGGATGCTCAGCATCTCACCTGCAAGAATGTCAGTAGAGACCATCCCAGTGTCACTTGGGTGGTTGAGCGTGAAATCTTGGTGGCAGATAGCAGTTCAGAAACTGAAGACATTCTTAAGCATGGGACATTGACAATGGCCTGGACCATAGTTCTCAGCCTTGGCTGTACATTAGAAACACCTGGGGAACTTTGAAGCATCCCATCGCCAAGGCCACTCCCCAGACCACTAAGTCAGAATCTCTAGGGGTGGGACCCAGGCATCTCCAGGTGAGTCCAAAGAGCAGCCAAGGTTGAGACCCACTGGTCTAGATCAAGGGAGTGGAAATCATATAGAAGGAATGGGATGGAACATAGAATACAAGGAAAGAAGGTTGAGCAGGACTCTGCAGGTGGCCAATTCAGTATGGGGTGAGAACGATGGAGACCCTATGCCCGAGTTCTGAATTCCATGTCTGAATCTCTGCGGAGAAATGGTGGTAGCGGGATAATGAAGGGAGAGCTTGTTTGGATGGAAACGTAAGTTCTATTCTAATCATTCTGAGTGGAAGGAATGGTGAGGATAGTCTGAGGTTCTGGGCTGAAGCTTAACGTGAATGCTAGACTGTTAACATAGTTGCAAAAATCGCCATTTACGCAAACGGCAAGAATCAAGATAGGGAAGCACAATTTGAAGTCATGTGCAACAAGACTTTTGTGTGGTCTTTGCAGCCATACCTGTTAGGCCCTCATGCATTCGGTCCACTGGGTGCCCTTAAGGGACTCACAGTCATGGGGTGGGAACCAGGCTGGCATGCAGGGTGGGGCCACACAACAGTTCTCTGAGGCCGAGAACTTGTTCTCCAGCTCTGGCGTTCACGGAGAGGAATTTATGCACATTTGGGTTTGCACTCCTGCCATCTCTGCCCTGTTGGTGTCTGCTCATTATAGAGATTGCTTTGGCGTTCCTGTCCTCTTCAAATTCACTCTTAAAATGTCACTCCAGCCCCTTTGACTTGGCCTTGTTTATTGGAGTCTCATGTTCTTTCTTGCTTAAAAACCACCCTGCCCCTCTCTTCCCCTTAGGGGCTTGCAGCCGGTACCACATACCTGGGTTTGGAGTCCTTGCTTCCTGAGCCATTCCGAGCCTCCACCCAGGAGGTCCTGTGGCTTGTCGGCCAAGGCTTCTCCGCTTAGGGCTGCCCATCTGCGAGTAGATTGAGACCCAGCCATTGGGCACCCGCTATGTGCAGACTACAAGTCTTAGTGCAGCTTGCAGATGAGGAAACTGTGATGCAGAGTAACTGCCTGGGGTCATCCAGCTGGTTAAGCAGCTCCTTACTCAGTGTCCTTGTCAGCTGTGCCCTAACAAGCAGCTATATACCAAGAACTCACCCCAAGCACTTTTTATGTTCACCCTCATATTCTTCAGACTTATCGAATGCCTAATACTGCATCTGCCCAGATTATACATCGGGTGAGTACTTGGAACAGGGTGTCCAGGCCTTTGCCCTTCCACTTGCCTACATGCATTTAGATCATGGGCCTCTCTCTCGTTCAGTTTCTCACAGCCAAGCCCTCATGGCCCTGGGAGACTGTGTAGTTCCAGTCAGGAGCTTGGAGACGTGAAGGAACCTTCCTCATCTCTTGTGGCCTTGTAGGGGTTATGGTTATGACTACTATTGTCGTTCCCCACGGTGAACGCCAAAGGGCAGAAGGAGCCTAGATACAGGGCAAGTGAGAAGAACGTTTACATGCTTCTGTCTTCAGAGTCCCGGAGGGTGGGGTTTCTGCCTGAGGCCTCCCGAACATTAACCTAGCGAACCTGTTTCCAGACGTGCGTCTTCAACGTCTATCCCAGGGAGTCCCTGTCTGCTCCCCTGACCTGCTGGGGCCCTGCAGGAAACAATAGGATGCACACTGCAGCGCTTGGGTTTCAGGATTATGGAGGTACAGATTCAAGGATCTGTGGTGTGCACTTGTACTCTTTCAACAACCATTTACTGAGCTTTCCTGTCTACTCACAACCCAGCCTAGGAGTTGATGGTCAGAGAAAGGTCCCTGTAGGAGGAGACTCCTGGCCAAGGACTCATTGGACTAAGCCAGGAAAAGCAGCTTGGGGAGCATGGGCCAGAGGAGAAGCTACCAGGCAGAGGGAAAGCATAGCAGAAAGCTAGCCCCATCTCCAGTGGTGCCGTCAGACACCCCTCACCCTGAGCCATGCTCTCTCCAGAGTGATGCCTTCAGCCATGTTAAAGTTCCCACCCTGAGAGGGAGCTGCAAGGTTTACCCCTTTCCAGGGATTCTTCATCCCTGCAGGAATTAGAATATTGGAGAGCAAGCTAAATGCGATAACGTGCAGAAGTGCCTACCACAGAACCTACACATAGCAGGTCCTCCGTAAGGGTTTTACATGCATCTTTGTCCCTACCATCTTCCCCTCCAGGCTTGTCTTGGGCCAGCTCTACTCCTTCATCACCACTCTTCCATACCACCAGCTTCCAGCCAGACAAATGTACTATTGTGTCAGGAACACACAGCGTTCTCTCTGTCACCCATACCATTGTGATTTTCCTTTTGATTTTTCTTTGACCCGTAGGTTATTTATACCAGTTGCTGTGGAGTCAACTCCGACTCATGGCAACTCCATACATGTCAGAGTAGAGCTGTGCTCTACTCTAGGGTTTTCAATGGCTGATTTTTTTAGAAGTAGACTACCAGGCCTTCTTCTGAGGTGCCTCTGGGTAGACTCAAAACTCTAGCCTTTTGTTAGCTGCTGAGCACATTAACCGTTTGCACCACACAGGGTTATTTAGAAGTGTGTTATTATTTAGTTTCCAAATATTTTGGGATTTTCCAGCAATCTTTTTGTTACTGATTTCTAATTTAATTCCATTATAGTCAGTGAACATATTTTGTATAACTTGAATCTTTTTTAAATTTTTTGAGGTTTTTTTTTTTTTTTTTTTTAAATGGCCTAGAGTATGATCTATCTGGGGGAGTGTTCTGAGTGGACTTGAAAAGAATATGTGTTCTGCTGGTTTTGGGTGGAGTATTCTACAAATGTCGATTAGGTCAAGTTAGTTGATAGTGTTGTCCAAGACTTGTATATCTTTATTGATTTCCTGCCTACTTATTCCATCAATTATTGAGAGGGGGTATTGAAATCTCCGACTGTAATTGTGAAGTTTTCTGTTTCTCTGTGCAGTTCTATCACTTCTTGCTTCATATGTTTCGAAGCTCTGTCATTAGGGGTGTAAATGTTTAGAATTATTATTTCCTCTTGGTGAATCGATGCCTTTATCATTATGAAATGACCTTCTTTCTCCCTGGTAATATTTTTTTGTCTAAAATCTATTTGTCTGGTGTTAATATAGCCAACCCAGCTTTCTTTTGGCCAGTGTTAGCATGGTACATCTTTTTCCATCATTTTATTCTATTTGCATCTTTATATTTAAATTGCATTTCTTGTAGGCATCATAAAGTTGGGTCTTACTTGTATCTAAACTGACAATCTCGGGCTTTTAACTGGGACGTTTAGACTATTTACATTTAATGCGATTATTTGTAAGATTACGTTCGAGTCTATCATCTTACTCTTGGTTTATTTGTCCCATCTGTTTTTGTTCCCTTTCAGTCTTTCTGCTTGCTTTTGTATTAATTATTTTTTGTAAATGCCTTTTTTCTCATTTGTTGGCATATTAACTAAAACTCTTTCTTCTGTTGTTTCAGTGATTGCTTTTAGGGTTTATAGTGTACAGCTTTAACTTATCACAGTCTACCTCCAGTCATTTCATACCATTTCATGTATAGTATAAGGCCTTACAATCATACTTCCATTTCTCGCCTCCCAACCTTTGTGTGATTTCTGTTGTACATTAACTTTTACATGTTGCAAATCCTACAATATGCTATTATCATTTTTATTTAAATAGTTTTCTTTTACAGAGATTAAAGTAATGAGAAAAAAATCATATATTTACCTATGTAATTAGCATTTCCATTGCTCTTTATTCCTATGTATAGGTCCATGTTTCCATCTGACGTCATTTTCCTTTAGCCTAAAGAACTTCATTTCACATTTCTTGTAGGGCATGTCTAATGGTAATGAATTCTTGTCAGCTCTTGTCTGTTGAAAAAGTCTTCATTTTGGCTTCATTTTTTGAAAGATAGTTTTGCTGGTTATACAATTCTACACTGATAGTTTTATTACTATTCTGGATTCAGTCATTTTGTACAGGTTACAAAATAGGAAAAATTAAACCTGAATTTTAACAAAAATTGGACTTCTGAAAAAAGCAGTATTTAATTTTATAAAGAATAAAAATGATTACCTCTGGTGCAATTTACTACATTAGGACCTCAAAGTTGCTAAAATGTTACCATGGTCAACAGGGCCTCTGGTCTGTATACCCATTCGTGTAGCCAGTTCTAAATGGAAGACTTAGGGATGTTTTATGAACAAAGAACTTCTTGGTGTTTATCCCTTAAAAAAAAAAAAAACTTAACATTTTTATTGGTGCTGTCTTATTCCCTGTCATATCTTCAGCCTGTGTCTTAGCTGGTCAACAGGTTAAACGCTCTGCCCTCGTGGGGAAGACAGTGGCCATCTAAAGACCCCAGCCCCGCCCCTGCCTGATACACACCGTTGCTCAAATTTGGCCTCTGACAGCAAAGCTCTTGGAACATGCTCTGAGAAAATAAATGTCTCCTAGAACTAATTTTTCATTCTCAGGGAAGACAAAGAGTGAACAGGAGACTGAGGAAAGATGAAAAGGCTCTGAGGGACGTGGGCTGGCCAAGGCTCAGCGAGGAAAGGGGCCTGTGGTGGGGCCAAGTGAGAAGCATTGGGTGGAGCCAGGGGTGTTTGGCCCCGAGGACAGTGGGCTCAGCAGCTTTGCGAAGTGCTTTAAGAGATTGTCACGTGGAAGGAGGGCTTGACCACAAGGGCACCAGGGCAACAGGAGATAGCTAGACAGATGGATTTAATTTACAAGAAATCCTAGCTTCCTGAAGCCAGAAAAGGGCTGCTCCTCCAGGTAGGGGAACATTCTAGCACTGGCCATGGTCAGGGGAGGCTGGTGACCACTCCCTAGGGGTCCTGACCAGTTCATGATTTTAGATGAAGCTCATGTCCATGGCCTCCCCCTGCCACAAGTCATTAGCAAACCCAGGGCATGTGGAAGGCACCCCACCAATTCTGGGGGCTGGTCCTGTTCCCGACCCTGCTCAGCTGTGACCTCAGACAGGGTGCTCAGCCTCCCTGAGCTTCATTCTCTTCCCTGAAAATAAAGGGTCTGCCCAGAGGATCCGTGAAGCCCGCTCAGGATCCGTGAGGCCCCCTCAGCGTCCGTGACACTTTCTTTTCGCCTGTGTTTCTTCCAGGTCCTTATTCCCATGACCCGCTGCAATTCCCACAAGGAGAACATCCAGGGCCAGCTCAAGGTCCGCATGCCAGGCATCTACCTGCTCATCTTCGACAACACCTTTTCAAGGTAGGGCCCTCACCACCAGCATCCGATGAGTCCACCTGCCACTCTGCCACCTGTTCCCAAGGTAGTCAGAGGTGGACGTTAGAAATCGATCATGGTTAGTAATTTAGTAACAATTTTTAGACCCCTATACTATGGTGTTCCCACGTCTACTGTAGATTTTATAACACACAGGCTCATCCTTATAGTCTTACAACATGCTGGGCATGTTCTAGGTGCTCTCCTTGTGTTGACTTAGTTAAGCCACATAGCATCCCAAGGTGATGATTGTTACTAGGTGCTGTCGAGTCGGTTCTGACTTATAGCGACCCTATGTACAACAGAACGAAATGCTGCTGGGTCCTGCTCCATCCTTACGATCATTGTTATGCTTGAGCGCATTGTTGCAGTCACCTTGTTGAGGGTCTTCCACTTTTTCGTGGACCCTCTACTTTACCAAGCATGATGTCCTTCTCCAGGGACTGGTCCCTCCTGACAACATGTCCAGATTTGTTCATTCTTTTGGCAGTCCATGGTATATTCAATATTATTTGCTTTTGCCAACACCATAATTCAAAGGCATCATTTCTTCTTTGGTCTTCCTTATTCATTGTCCAGCTTTCGCATGCCTATGAGGTGATAGAAAATACCATGGCTTGGGTCAGGTGCACCCTAGTCCTCAAAGTGACATCCTTGCTTTTCTACACTTTAAAGAGGTCTTTTGCAGCAGATTTGCCCAGTGCAACACATCGTTTGATTTCCTGAATGCTGCTCCCATGGGCTTTGATTGTGGATCCAAGTAAAGTGAAATGCTTGACAACTTCCGTATTTCCTCCGTTAATCATGATGTCGCTTATTGGTCCAGTTGTAAAGATTTCTGTTTTCTTTATGTTGAGGTGCAATGTGGTAGCAACTGTCTGTCTCCTCACATTATGCTGAAGTGAGTGAGGACCAAAGGGAATGGAATGGCAAGCCCAAGTCACAGACCACGTATATGGTGGAGCCAGATTTGAAGCCAGGCCAGCCCAGCTCCAGTGTCTGGATTCTTAACTGCTGTCCTCTCCTGCCTCTCTCTGATGTCCAGATTCCTACTGCTGAGCCCAAAGAAGGGGCTTAGTAAATACAGTGGAAGGACTGATTGAATGAATGAATGAGAGAGAGAAGTGAAAGCAAGAAGGGTAAATCTGAGATAAGCAGGACTAAGGCTGTCACGGGAGCTGCATGTGCCATCGCGGGGAAGCACTGTGTCAGAGGGTCAGCCACAGGGTCAGGAGTATAGTGCTGGGGTGGGGAGGAGATAGGATCAGGAGGGTGGGAGTATCGAGAGATAAGGCCAGATAGTTGTTGAGTATCCACCATGAGCCAGGGGCCCCTCCTTCACGAAGGTATGAGGCGAGGGTGGCTAGGGTTGCTGGGCACCTGTCCGTTTTTATGTTCTCTGGCTTCAGCATAAGCCCCTTAACTGGGTCTGCCACTTTAAAGAAACATGCTTGACGAACACCGGCCACATCCCTACTGAGCAGGACCCTGGGCTAGATACCACACCCCCACACCCTGGACACCTAGCAGACTAACTGGACAGGACACGTGAGGGAAGAGCTGCACCACCCTCATGACCTCCAGGCCTTGAACTCCAGGGCTTGTGGCCACGGGCATCCACCCAAGGAGAGGCTGAGAGGGTGAGCAGGGAGGCCAAGCTTCCACCTTGCCGTCTCCTCCCCTCCTCTCCACGCCCCTGCACAAGTGAACCACCCCTTCATAGCAGGACTTCAGGGGCATGGGCCCAGCACGTCCAGAGAGCTGTCCTAGAGCCTCCCGGGGTGGGTGAGGCCTCAGCCCCTCGCAGGTGGCAGGATGGCCCAGTGACTAGGAGGGCGGGTTGTGGTCAGCCAGACATGGGCTCTGCTCTTCCTGCTGTGGCCTTAGTTTCCTCCTCTGTGCAGTGTCGGCGAGCACTGTCACCACCCCACTGGACCTCACTGTGAACTGAGCCCCGGGTGAGGTGCGCAGAGGGCAGAGCCCGGTCCCCAGTCTCCAGCCCGAGCAGGCTCCCGGTTATCACGGGAGGTGGTTACAGTGCTGCAACAATCCAGCCTGGGCCCGTTAAAGTCATCTCACGGGCCTCCTCGAGGCTTCCAGCCATAGGTGGCAAAATGGATTTCGATACACAGTCAGAGCGGCGCCTGTCCTCTCCGCTGCCGTGTTCCTCTTCCGGTGCCCGCTCCATCTGCTGGCCCTGTGCAGTGCAGACTGCCAGCCGCTCCAGAGCAGCAAGGCCGGGGGTGAGGAGGCCTCCCGGGGGCCAAAGGGCATTTCTGCACCCTAGGAAAGTCCATGGTGAAGCCCCAGGTCCCCTGACACTTTGTGGAGGAGAACTCTGCTAGCCAGACAACAAATGGGGTGAAGGGGCCTGGAAGAGTCCGTGTACTCGCAAGGGGCTCAGCTCTGAGCAGAAGTCTCCTCATGGGCCCCGTCCAGCCAGCACTCACACCCAGCCAGGCTGCAGCGGCCACAGAGCAGCCGCTGCCCTCGGGCCCTCAGTTCTCAGGGTGACCCCTCCTTTTCCGTTTCTGTCTCCTCAGGTTTGTCTCCAAGAAAGTATTTTATCACTTGACAGTTGACCGACCTGTCATCTACGATGGAAGTGATTTCCCGTAGCCTCAGGCACCTGGATTTTAACAGCTTCACTTTATCCACAGGAAACACTACTCTTCCTCACCTGTCACATAAAGCACTTAAAAAACAGCAACGAAGAAAAAGGGCAGCAGCCCCTCTCCAAGCTAATCAACTGTGCAGCCCAGCACTGCCCTTTCTGCACTACGCCAGGTCATTCTTAGCCCTGTGACCTTTAAGGGCTCACGTGACTTTTCCATTGATTCAGGAGCCAGCTGTCCTCAGATGCACAGGGACACTCTGCCAAAGTTTTAAACACTCAGGAGACCATCAGCCCCTCCTGGGAACACAGTTGGTTATAGGCCTTCCCCTGCGGAGAGTTTCCTGGGGATCCCAACTTCCACCTGTAGAGAGAGAGGCCCTGCTCTGCCCGGCCCGGGGCCAGACATCCTGGGTGACCATGAGCTGGGATGCCCTGGCCAGACCCTGTGAGTGCTCAGTCTTTGAGATCCACAGGCCCTCCCAGGAAAAGGAGGCCACAGGGCCATCATTGGGAGTCAAGATGCTCCAGAGCCCTGCAGAGATGCCAGCCAGCTGCCACCTCCTGTCACACCCCGTCCCTCACTGCTCTAGTAAGTTTGGGGCTGCTCCAAAACTCAGCCATTTTGGAGTGGCCTCTAAGCTGCACTTGCCTCCTGGCCCTTCTGTCTGGGTGATTCTCTCCTTAAGCAAAGCTCTGCACTCAGGCAGGCCTCTCAGCAGCTCACAGCATCACCCTAAGAGCAGAACTGAAGATAATCAGAGAAACAGAACCCGCCACTGTGCTAAAGGCTGCAGTGGCTGTGGATACGCTGCAGCTAGAGCCCGAGTGCTGGCTCGTGGCAGCGCTGCGGCCGAAGCAGAATTGTGGGTTGGCCTGCAGGGCTCGCTCCTCAGCTGGAAGCCTGCCCCTGTGCGTGCACACAGGAGCTCTGGCCTCACCAGCAGACGTGTGTTTACTGATGATCAGAACTGGGGTAAGAGCCACTTTCAGAACCTGGGCCTCTTCTCAAAAGCCCTTGGTAAGGCAAGTGTAAACAGAGGCATCATTCATGGACTTGCTCTTTGTTCATGTCTTGGTCTTTGATGCCCACGCATACCAAGCCCACTCCCCACCTACCAGATTCCCCAATATCCTATTTGCATACTTCCTGCTGCTCAGCCCACAGCTGACACCCAGGAAGCAACTCCCCTGGAGGCAGTGAGTCCCCGTTTCCTATTCCTGAATAGGAATTAAATAATCTTCCTGTTCTCTGTGGCCCTTTTTTCCTCCTACCACAGAGAGCTCACCTTTGCCAGCCTCTCTGTCCCTTGTTCGCAGAGGCCGGCCTCCTGTGGTCAGGTGTGGGCATTTCCACAGGTGAGCAGAGCATCTGACAAAATGGCCCACTTTGACCTAAGGAAAACAGGTGGCCAAGTATTAAGGAAAGCGCACTGGACAGGTTTTCTAAGGACCTGAGTTGTGGGCCCAGCTCTCCCTCTAGCCAGCCTTGCGACCCAAGTCAAGTCACACCGCCTCTCAAGGCTTTATTTTATCATCCATAACCTTTGTCTAACTGGTTTTGAAGGCTTGGGAACGGGTCAGGGGCCTGCAGGCCAAGTCCAGCACAGACTCCCAACCCTCCATGCACCAGCAGCCACAGCATCAACACCAGCAAAAAGAACTCCAACGAGGGCAAGGGTAAGAGGAAGTAACCCCCGAGGACTCAGACCTCTCATCTGAACAGGAGAGTTGGGCACCTCCCGTCAGTTTAGAGGAGAGTGGGGAATGGTGGAGAGAGCCTTTCAAAGGTTAGCCAGAGAGAAGCCAGGCCTCTTGTGTTCTGTCCTTGGGGCAGCCTCCTTGAGCAGAAAGCAATCAGGTTCTCATCCCCAACTGGCTAAGGCCCTGACAGTGCTTAGCACCAAAACGGAAAATGACCAGGCCTCCAGAGACTCTTCCAGCCTCATGCTTGTCCTCGCAGGTGTGCCACCCAGCCCGAGGATTGTTCAAGAGCAAATTACCCAGCCTGTGCATCCATCTGCCCTCTTGCAAAGGATAGTCAGAAGTCAGCCGGGCTCCTGCAAGAAAGAAACAAAATGTGTACAGAAGAGAAACCAAAGCAGTCTGGGGTCTCCTTTTCAGTGCTCAGCTTTCCCAGGATGTCATGGGGACTTGCCAAGCCGATGACCTTCTGCTGGTGTCACCACCATCATTTGCAACAAGAACCAACGTTGACTGAGCAGCTGATGTGTTTGGGGCCAGTGAAAGGCCGAGGGCATTTTCTTCTATCTAAGGTCCATTCTGAGCCCCACTCTGTCACTCAGCACAGCAGAGGACCAATTACAACTTAAAAAACAACATGGCTCTTACGAAGCCAACCCAGAGCCCCTCATCTAGGAGAATGGCGGCTGCTGAGTTGGGCAGCACCTTGAACGCTGACTGTGATGGTACAAGAAAGGTCCTTTCTGCATTCAGAGGACTGCCCAGTCCCTCAGCAGTCATTTCTCTAACTCTGGTTTCATTAGCGTAGCTATTTTTGTGTGCTGGACAAACTCTTAAACTTAGTTTGCTGTTCGAGCTCAAGTTTGCTGTGAGTTATGCAGTTAGCTCCTTGGCCTATTTAAGTGTGACTTTTATCAACAGCTTTATTCTTATTTTCCATAGGTGTGCAACGTACTGAGGTTTTTTGGTTGAGATAACTTTTTTTAACAAAAATACAAATGACAATTGAAGAGCCACTGTTGAAGGTGGTAGCCCCAACTAGACAGAGGTGCCCTAGAAATCAACAAGAAGGCAAAATGGCCTTGGGATCCACATCACTATTCAAAAGGGGAGGAGGCAGCCCCTTGATGGCCTAGCTGTCTGAATAACAGTTGTTTTGTATTATTGCTGCCAGCTGCCTTGTTCAGCACTGCCACTGAAGCCACTGCTTATCTCCTGGGCAGCACACCAACCCCAGTCAGCCAACCTCCATCACCAAGAACAGATGTTTGGCGAAGTGTTTCTGTGTCTGAGCGGGCCCTGCAGAGAGCACTGCTGATTTAAGCGCCCTGAACTCCGAGCAGTCTCGAACAAGAGCAGGGAAAGGGATTTTCAAGCAGGAATCTGGAACTGGAAAAAACCCACGTGTTTGGAAAACAGAGATGAAAAGCCACATAATACAACTCAAAAATAAAGGGAGTGGCTTTTCTGAAATGTTGCGGTTGTCTCCGAAGGTGGTAAAGCCATTCCAGGCCCAGACAAAATGAGAATTTGTGTTACGATACTTGTTAGACGTCCACTGGTGCCATTTTATAGGGCTTTCATTTTTAAAAGTCCAGCTTGGTAATTCTACACGTAAGAAGCCTTTAGGTCAAGGAACCACCCTTGGCTCAAAGGTGCTGAGCATTAAATCAGAGAGAAGCTTTTGTGATGCTTAGAACCAAGGACCTCCATTTACTCAGGCCATTGAGACAGCCACCCACGTTTACCCAAAAAGCACTCTTCAGTGGAACTCTGGGTAAGTTTTTCCCACTTTATCTGGTTCTTCCAAGGAAACAGGAAAGACTGAATTAATTCCCTTTTCCCTCTTGAGCACTTTTTAAAAAATAATAAAGTATATCTTTAAACTTCAGGAGGCATCTCTGAAAAAAGGCTTCCTTAGCGCCTTAGGATGCGTGTTATCCAGAGACACCTCCGCTCCTCTGGGGGCTGCAGAGCACTATGCAAGCCTCGGTTGGATGGCTTGAAAATTAGAATTGCACTTTAGTTGACTAATCTTCAATCCACATGGCCTTATGGGCTAGCGGGTCTGAGAACCCCATTTCATTCATATCTGCCAAAGAATTACTCAGAAGCACATCAGATGCCAACACCCCACCTACACAGTGGGGGAGGAACTTTTCTATCCCAAAACATATCTCTTTGGAGTGTCTGCTATGCCATTCGGAAATGTTTTTTTAACATCAGGATTTAAATAAAGTGAACACTATGACATTTAGAGTAGCATCGTCTTTTGTTCCACCGGGGCATGCAGAGGATGATATTGCCTAGACCTGAGCTGGGATTGATTTCCCCTAATGGAAACCCTGGTGTCACACTGGTTAAGACCTACTGCTGGTAGCAAAGGGTCAGCAGTTCAAATCCACTAGGCGCTTCTTGGAAACTGGGGGGCAGTTCGTCTCTGCCCTATAGGGTCACTATGAGTCGGAATCGACTCGATGGCAATGGATTTGGTTTTCTTTTGAATGGGAAATAGAGCATCTTTTACAGCGGCTTTTTAAAAGGGCTCAAGTCAGCAGATATTCTGGGTAATTGCCGCATGGTCTGGCATCTGGATACATCCTGGTCTTCTTTGAAGAAGGTATTGGGACCTGCCTGAGGCAACACGTCCTTCCGGCCCACACCTCTGCCGAGTGAGCTTCCACCCTCAGCCCAGATGTCCCTAGTTTCCCTATGGGGCTCACAGAGCACTTTGAACAAAGAGCAAACTTCTGGTTTACCAGAAAAATGGGGTGGGGGAAACAGGTCATGGATGGCCTAAAACCACAGTCAGTCAGCATGTGGTACAAAGCTAGGCAGAAATGCCGGGCAGAGACCAGCTGGCAAAGGAAGAAGCCAACACTCCCACTACAACTTACACTGCTGTTACCAGGTCAGTAGAGCACCTGGAGAGGCATGTCCCTGTCACTCCGGGACTGGCCAGATTGAGTTCAGGTTCAGCAGTCTGTCCGCACTTAGCTCACATGCTATGTCCAGGGTGACTAGGAGCTCCTCTCCTAGAGTGCTCCATGTCTCGAAGAATACCTCCCAGCCCCTTCCCTTCACCTCCGTCCCTCTTCCAAGTCCTCCCTTGCCCTCAGATTCTCACATGAAGTCTTCTTTACTCAGTTATTCCAGAATAAGTCTGTGTGTCTAGTTCTCCGTCAAGGGCAAGGACCATGTCCCATTCATCTTCATGTCGCCTTCCCGCCACCCACCCCCTGTATCAAGCATCATGCCATACACAAAAGTGCTCAAAAAGTACCAAACCAATGAGGACACCAGTCAGTCCTAATGCCTTGGTGAGCCATAAGGCCATCAGTAATCCCATTGGCCAACTCAGGCGGGGACAGAAGCTCCCAAACACTCCAGTGGCAGAGAAGGGCAAAGGATAGGCCTTGGGAGGGGATTTGGTGATGATGGGGGTGGGCCGATGACTCAATCCTACCCCCTGCACATCCTGTCCTCCTGAAAGATGCCCTCAAATCAAGCCTCTTACTGTCTAGTGATGGGGTTGAAGTACTGGCACCCAGAATAACCCAGAAAAAGGGATTATTTGATAATAGTCTCTCCTGAGGTCTGGTGGACCCACGGGCTGTGAGCTGGGACAAGAACCAACCGAGATACACAGATGTGCATGCTGCATCTGAAATCTGGGGGTCTCCACCACACAGCTCCCATCGCACCACACCTCAATCTGCTAAACCACTGAGTAATCCAAGGTGACAAAAGTCTTCACTCAAGGTTTTCCAAGCCACATGTTCGAGTCCAGATAGTTCTGGCCCAATTCAGTGTCCCAGACTCCTTGACACTTGGGGGCGCCATGCCTCTTCCTGCCACATCTCCTGGCAAGCACTGGAGGATGTAGCTATTCCCCCAAGTGACTCAAAAGGACACTTTCAGCAAGGTCAGCCCTTTCGGTATGAAGATGCGTGGGAAAAATTGGGTTGAGAGGAGCTCGCCACCCACACACATCTGAAAAGCAAATTGATGGTGAAAACTGTGGCCCAAGATGAGAAAACTTTTTCTGAGGGAGCAGTTGAAGCTGAAGCCATCGAGAACCAGGGGGAAGCGTAGCTATTATGAAACACAAAATGTGTCAGGGGTGAGAGAAAGGTCAGCCTTTTGCTTTTCCCACACCGGCTGCTTTCTGAAGGACAATGAAGTCTAGCTGAAGTGTGATCACGGACCTTCTGGCCTTTGATGTCTCCTCCTTCCCCGCCCCTCAAGCTCTGTGGGAGGATGGAAGCTCCTGCGGTTTCCTCACACCTTCTGGCACATACACGTTAAGGTTATCTTACTCTGACGGCCCCATCTGAAGCCTAAAACGAATTAAGTGTTAGCTAAAAAATGAACAAAATGAGACAGGACTCGCCATGTGTCCTTACCAAAAGGGAGGCCTGTTTCTAGATTGGGTTTGGTTTCGGACCTGCAGGTCCACAGAATCGTCAAAGAAAGGTGACTTCAGGAGGCCATCCCAAGACCTTTGCTCCCAAAGAAGACTGACTGACCCACGGAGGAGGGAGGCCCAAACGTGCGTCTTCCAGGTCAGTGGGGCAGGCGCTGTCTTCTCCCTGGTGTGAGAAAGGAAAGCTGGTTAAGGAGAGGTAGGAAGGGAGATAAAGAGACGGGAGAGCAAAGAAAGGGTGAGGAAAGAGATAAACAGAAAGGATCTTCCCCGGAGGCCGCAAGGAGGGCTGGAGCTGAGGCTAGGTTACAGACGCCATCTTTCTCTGGAAGGAAGGAGCAGTAGGGAAGTGGTGATGTTGAAGTGGCCAAAGCCAACCACCACATACGGTGGAGGCAACGTTTTAATGTAAGCAAGACCTAGACCATTTATAGAACAAACACGACAGGCAGTGACTGCAGACACGGAAAAGATAATCCTGTTTGTTCCTCTGGCTCTGAAGGCAGCTACCAAGCCCCACATGCTTTCACACAGAGGCAGCGGGAGAGGCAGCAGGATTGGTCCTCCCCAGAGGCCTTCACACATCAGGCAGAGTCCATGTATGGAACGAAAGCCCTTTGCAAATGCAGCTCTTCTCTACCAGCAAGGACCCCACGGAACTGCTGGATGTGCTTGGGAAGGGGTCCCTGTTCATGCCCCAGAGATGACCCTGGGGAAGAGGGATCGGGAAGGCCAAATCAGTCCCCGGTTTGGTTTGGTTCAAGAGTTCAGTTATCAAGCTGCCAGGAAAAGCACCCAGACTCCCCAAGGTCAAAACTGTTCATTTATTAAGTGTCAGTAGCAAAGAGCTTCCTAGATGAGTGACTCTCTTACTTTGGTGTGCATAAGTTACCCGGTGGCCTACTAAAATGCAGATTCCTGGGCACCACCCATGTCAAGTTTGACTCATCAAGTCTGGGGGGAACCAGAATGCATTCATAAGTCTTCCAGGTGATTCTGGTGGAGATGACCCATGAAGCCACCAAGGAGGTCCTTGATGATCATTGCTATATCACCCCTGATTTGGCTAGAACCTGAGGAAAAGGGTAAAATGAACTAACTGATCTGTCTCCAAATTTAACTCTACCAGTGGCCCTTGAAACTTGGAACCAGGCCTTCTTCCTCAACTCAATGGCCCAAGCACAGGGGTACAGTGATGAAGTTTTATTCGTGGAGAGGAAAATTTTTTTTTTTTATTTATTGTTATAGTTTAAATGAAGTTTACATTTCAAGTTAGTCTCCCATACAAAATTTTTATACATATATTGTTATGTGACCCTAATTGCTCACCCCATTCTGCAACAGCACACTCGTTCTTTCCACCCCTGATTCCCCATAACCGTTCAACCAGCTCCTAACCCTCTCTGCCTTCCCATCTCACCTCCGGACAGAAGCTGCCCATTTAGTCTCTTGTATCTACTTGAGCTAAGAGGCACACTCCTCATGAGTATCACTTTATGTCCCACAGTCCAGTCCAACCCCTGTCTGAAGAGTTGGCCTCAGAAATTATTTTCGTTCTGGGCTGATAGAGAATCCAGGGGCCATGCTTTCTGGGGTTCCTCCAGTCTCAGTCAGACCATAAAGTTGGGTCTTCTTAGTAGAATTTGAGTTCTGCACCCCATCTTTCTGCTGCTCCATCAGGGACTCTCTGTTGTGTTCCCTGTCAGGGCGGTCATTGGTGGTAGCCGGGCACAGTCTAGTTCTTCTGGTCTCAGGCTGATGAAGTCTCTGGATTATGTTGCCCTTTCTGTCTCTTGGGCTAATACTTGTGTCTTTGGTGTTCTTCATTCTCCTTTACTCCAGGTGGTTGGGACGAACTGATGCATCTTAGATGGCTGCTTGCAAGCTTTTAAGACCCCAGATGCCACTCACCAAAGTAGGATGCAGAACATTTTCTTAATAAGCTTTGTTATGCCAGTTGACCTAGATGTCCCCCGAAAGCATGGTCCCCAGACCCCTACCCCTGCTTCTCTGTCTTTCAAAGTATTTGATTGTATTCAGGAAACTTCTTAGCTTTGGTTTAGTCCAGTTGTGCTGACTTCCCCCGTAGCGTGTGCCATCCTTCCCTTCACCTAAGATGATTCTTATCTACTGTCTAGTTAGTAGATAACCCTCACCCTCCCTCCCCACCCTTGTAACCATCAAAGAGTGTTTTCTTCTGTGTTTAAACGTCTTCTTGAGTTCTTATAATAGTGGTCTTATGGAGTATTTGTCCTTCTGTGACTGACTAAATTCACTCAGTATAATAAGTTCCAGCTTCCTCCATGTTATACGATGTTTCACAGCTTCATCATTGTTCTTTATCGTTGTGTAGTATTCCATTGTGTGAATATACCATAATTTGTTTATCCATTTGTCCGTTGATGGCACCTAGGTTATTTCCATCTTGTTGCTATTGTGAACAGTGCTGCAGTGAACATCAGTGTGCATATATCTATTCGTGTGATAGCTCTTATTTCTCTAGGATATATTCCAAGGAGCAGGATTGCTGGATCGTATGGTACTTCTATTTCTAGCTTTTTAAGGAAGCACCAAATTGATTTCCAAAGTGGTTGTACCATTTTACATTCCCACCAACAGTGTATAAGTGTTCCAGTCTTCATGGAGAGGAAAATATTTCTAAACAAATTCCCTGGAGGAGATTATTCTACAGGTAAAATCCTTTTACAACCACAGTTTTTTGATGGCTTATATTTGTATTCAAGCCCGCCCTGGTGGTGCAGTGGTTAAGAGACTGGCTGCTAACCAAAAGGTCAGCAGTTCAAATCCACCAGCCGCTGCTTA